TACACTTGATAGATGGAGCTCACTTCACGAAAGCTCATGCTCAAATAAATTGGTTAGTCTCTAAGGTGCCACAAGTACTCCTTTTCTTTTTGCGAATACAGACTAACACGGCTGTCCCTCTGAAACTTGATAGATGGTTTCTGAAGCAGGTGAAAAAGAAATAGGAAGGGTTTTTCTAGATGTTTTAACTAAAGTAAGTGCAAGTCAGAAAGAGAAATTCTACAAGAGATTCTAAACCAGGGAACAAGTAGAGGAGGCAGGTATCTGGTTTGAGAACAGTCTGTTGAACACTAGCAAGAGGACAGGAAACTGTTAAGGTTTTAGATGAATTCATACAGATAACAATATGCTAGATTTGAATAGTCAGTACTATAGGAATTCAAAAAGGATAAAGGAAGGAAAACTGCAAAAGAATTTAATTTTTTTTTCCAAACAAATATTTTGCAACTGCTCTGGAAGGTATAGTAGTATCATAAGGCACTATTATTTGTATAACCTTACACACTGTAGTTAAACAGTGCTGCTAAATTTGTAGCAATTCTGCAGAAAGCAAAGGGGAAAATAACACTAATACTCTTAAGCGATGTACGTTTATTACTTTTGTCCAAGAGCTGTTCATATTTGCAGCCTGGGTTCCATTTTAAAGCATCCCTTACCTTGTGGGATGTGCATTTTCAGGGTTTCACTGAACATGTTTGGCTAGTTACATTGTGTGTTGATAGCATTTTAAAAAGAGATTTTTTTCCATCTCCTGTGTCTCTCATTTCTTTTGGAGTTATTTTTGTGCTGTCCAAAGGGGATTGGAAAATGAGCTGAGAGAGTTTGTGCTCAGTGAAGGGAGGAACGCCCTGGCCTCTGTCATACTCTGTGGCAGAGTTCCATTGCTTATGGCCAGGGTGAAGGAGGAGGAGGAGGGAAGAGAACAGCAATAAAACAGGCAGAGGAAGTGAGTCAGTTCTCACTGAAACAGCAAGCCATGATTCCACTTTCAGGGAAGCCAGGCTTGGTCTAGATTGAAGGTAGAAGTTGCATAAACCCCGTGCCTGCCTCCCCCTTTCCCAGTTTTAAAATCTACTCTGCAGCCATATGAAGTTTGAGGAGATTCAAGTTACAGGACCTTGGGCAGAGGGAAACGTCCAGTTTAACTTCTATTTTTAATATATAAAATATTTTATTGCACCTTGTTGTTGGGGTCTTTAATAATAATAATGAAAATGTCTTGTCTGCTCTGTGTGGGTTTTAAAAATCCCATGGCAGACTCCATAAGAGATGGCCGTGTTTTCCTTGCTCAAGAATTCCCTTACACAGCACAATGTGTGTGTGTGTGTCATTTGCTTTCTTGCCACCCCAAAGAAGGCTGCTTTTCTGTAATGGTTGAAGTGATCCTGGATGGAGTATAAGTTGTGTGTTGGTTTGTAAAGCGCTTTGTGATTCTCTGGAATTAAACACACCATTTAAATGTTAAATATTATTGAGCTTGGAAGCATGTTAGTGAAGAAACAAACTCTTTAATGGTGTTTTCTCCCAAGCCCTCTGTGCTTTTTTCCAGTCTCATTATTTTATGGGAATTGTGGCCTCCTAGTCTGCATCTATGCTTCCTGCTCTTCCTCACTGTTTCTACAACCAGTTCAGCTCCACAGGTGGGAGCTTTGAACTTTGGTGAATCTTATTTTAGCAATGCCCAAAAACAACCAAACAAAAAAATCCACCACCCAAAACCAAACTGAGCACAGTTCTCAACTTGCTGCAATCATCATTCATTTTTCTTTGATAGTAAAAGGAAGGTTGTGGTCACTGTGCAAGCCAGATAGTAGAGTCAGTTTGTGGGTTGTCATTCAGACTTTTCACAATGGGAAAGGAGGTGGGGAAATGAAAAGAGCAACTGCAAATAAATGTTTCTACCCCAAAGAGACTCCATGTATTTGTCCTCAAAACTGTTAAACAGCAGGTCAACCCTCTGCAGCACAGGCCAGGAATGAGAGGCTGACCTGGAATCTAGGACTTGGGTTCTGTATGCTTACATGTACTGCGCAAACCATGAGTTGGCCATATGTTGTTCACTGGTGTTTGTGTGATGTACAGTAGACTGTATAAGCAGGTGGAGTCCCCACCATCCTGCAAATAGACTGAGCATACACAAAGGATATGGTCCAAATTTACACTCTTCCTGGGGCCTCTTCCTTCCATTTAACATAAATAATGACAGAGTATTTATTTAAGCTATTGTATTTTCCATTTAAACAACAGACACTGAAAATACTGTCCTTTGGGGAAAAGTAAATACCAGTACTGACTTCAGTTCTAAAGATTGAAGATGATGTACATAGCTAATGTAGTATATGTCATATTATATACCATATTTATAAAGCTTGACCTTGAAAGTTAAACACTTTCCTCTGATTTTATGTATAAAAAAAGCAGACTTTAACTAATTTCTTACTAATTCATTACTAAAATTGAGGAGGGCTCATTGATTCTGCTTATTTTTAATTTGTTAAAATTATTTTAATAAATGATAGTAAATTTAGACCTCATCTCGGTAGTCATGAATTCTAATTTAATTTTGACAGGTTTATTTTTAAAAAGGAAATATTTAAATTTAAAATCTGATTTAAATCATTTAAAAATACAGGATAGATAAGAATCATTTATAAAAATAGTGTGTATAATAATTTAAAAAAGAAATACAGTAAAAGCACCATCATATCCCATATGTAGTAGTAATATCCACCCGATAGGTTTTTTCCGACCGTCTTTCACTGCCTCTCGCATTTTGCCCACTAATCCCATCTTCCCAGGACTACGAGTAAAATTCCAAAACTAAGTTTCAAACAGCTGCCATTTTGAATACTTTAAATTTTTAGTTTTTTTAATGTTTACACCATTAGCCATCATTGTTCTTTTCCCTTCCAAATGCAGAATTTCCTCATCTCTTCCATGCTTCCTGTCCATTCCCCACCACACCCAAAAAGGAGGAAAGAGACTTAGTTACTTTCACCCAAATCTTAGGTTAGGTGATATTCAGGTTTGGGCAAGTGACAAGTTTAACATCCAAAGTCTTGGACTCATGAGAACTAGAAATGGGTTGCTATTTCTTATTGCAATGTGAAGTTTCCTAGCTTTCCAATGGGATCTATGGCACTTCTTGTCCTGGTAGGTCCCAAGGTTTTTTTTTTTTAACCTTGGAATCACGGCATTTTTAACTTGTTCTAGATCATTTTAGAGATTATAACATTTATTGCATTTTCTCTCCCTCTGAGGTCCGAACAGTTAGATTGTTTGTTTGCTAAGAGAGACTGGCTTTGTAGGTGGATAGAGACAAATATTATTTATTTGTTTATTATTTTAAATCTAAAACATTTCAGAAATAATTCTTCTGTAAAATGTGACTTACTGGATGAGCCTATGAAAATACTGAAGACGTGGCATGATATCTAGGTTTGGGATAGCCTCATTACATGGGAGCTGGTATTTTTATGTATTTAAATTTAAGATAATAAGATGCCTATCCAAGGTTTAAGGTGCATCACTGTCATTAATAGCGCACATTCTCTTAAAATGTGTGCTAGTAATGACCATTCCATGAGCCTTCTGGAGTATGTGCCATAGAAGATGGCTTCCTTTATTGTGGCTTTTCATCCTTGATTATGTGTATTCATGTGCTTGAGGGATCTTCTTTTCCTGTTGTATACTGACCGATCTCTGAAGATCGTTAAAGGTTCTTCCAGACTCTTCATGAATCACTATTCAGTGTGAAATCCCTTCGTAGAAATAGCAACTTCCAATAGGGTGACCAGACAGCAAGTGTGAAAAATTGGGACGGGGGTGGGAGGTAATAGGAGCCTATATAAGAAAAAGCCCCAAATATCGGGACTGTCCCTATAAAATCGGGACATCTGGTCACCCTAACTTCTAACTGCTGCAAAAGACATTGAAAGTACAGCAGGTTGGGTAGGTCCTGCCTGTAGTCATAGGGAACTTGGTGAGCTGTTAAGGGATTTCTTGGCTGATAGGCTGCTGCAGAAGCAAGATGATTTCTCCACAATACAGCTACTGGCTACTTCCCTTCCTCCTCCATTGTTGAATGGAGCACCTTTCCTTCATGTTCAGCTGAAGATTTTGGTGGCGTTTGTTTGTTTGTTTTTACCATCTCAGAGAGGAAATTAGGGAATCCTGAGATAATTTAAATTGTTTGCCTTTTTTAGTTTTAGCAAGTCATTGTTATTTTTTCAGGGTTTGAATTAAAAGCAGATCATTCAGCTTACGAGAAAGAAATTAAATAAAAATCAATGGCTTGATGGGAGAGAAGTGAGGAAGGTGGGAATGTTGAACAGAAAAGGCTTCAGAGTGGGCTAATGCAGTGGTGCCCGATTTTCTTACACAGGACGGCCACATAAACCTAAATGCAATCTCGTGTGGGCCAAACAGATCCTACATATTTGAATAAGAATTGGTCACCTGTCTTGATTTATATTTTAAGTTCATCTTGTTTCATGTATATTTAGATCGTTTCTAAGTACAGTATTGTCTATTTATATACTTGGATAAACTAAAATGATGAAAACATGATGAAAAAATACTGATGAATTGGCCGATAATATATTGTGTTGAAGGAGGACGCGGGCCTTATGAAATGTTGTGGTGGGCCGTGTGCAGCCTGCGTGCCATAAGCTGGGGCAGCCCTGAGCTAGAGAGTTCATTATTGAAATCAGAAGTGCTGTTTGCAACTGCTGTTCTTCTTGTGCAAAAGTACTCTGATATTTTTTATTTCTTTTTGAGAGGGATAAATCAGTTAGACTCTACATAGGATCAGATCTATTTTATCTTCCTCCACTCCATTCCCCACTGGACAAGATTTTCCTGGTCATGATTTCTTTGGAAGGAGGGACAGGCACACACCTTACTGTTTGCTGATTCTGAGGGTGTATATGCCATCTGATGTCCTATTGCTGTTTTGTGCTCCTTACTTGTGAGTCATTGATGTTCATTCTCTGTTTCAGGCATTGTGATCAAGTGGACTCCAGCATCCTCTGAACTGCAGAGAAGAAGAGCAAAAAGAAGAAAGGGAAGGGCGCACAGAGGAAAAGGAGGTGGAGGCACTTCCATCTGGACTTGTATGAAACTTATGACTGGAACTGGATGGGAAAGTGAACCATTTGGTGTCTTTTCTTCCCCCAGTCTCTGAGATGGGTGGATTGTAAATCTGTATGTGTAACTGGGAATAGACTGAACCATGAATCTTCAGGCTCAACAAAAGTCTTCAAACAAGAGGGCTGGGAAACGGATTGCATATTTTAATGAGCAGGATGTAGCTGTGCCATCGAAAGAACTGCAACAGCAGCTGAAGGAAGGACAGTACTATGGACATGGAGGGGAAATACCTGCTTCACAAACTATGGAGCTTTCTAAAGCAGGGAGTTTAACTGGTGCTCCCAACAATGTTGCCTTGATGAACTCTGTTGTTTACACTCAAGATAGGGGGGACTCCATGATGATGTCTCAGCAGCTGGCTGCTGTCAAATGGCAGAACTCATTGATGGGGAGCAGGTTGCCTGAGAGGATTGATTCCAGTTGGCAGCCTTCACCTGCGGCATGGAACCACAGTGTGGTCTTTGGGGGCAATCAGAAAGGGGTCCACCACAATTCCAGTGCTCCAGGTTTCTATGGCCATCCTGAAGCTCTGAAAAGAAGCCAGGAAAAAGAAATGGAGGTGCCCCAGCTAGAAATATATGGAGATGCTGCTGTTCAGCAGATGATGGCCCAGAAGGTTCAGCTGGAACAACAAGCACTAATCAGGCAGCAAGCTCAAATGAATTCGTATCACCAGATGCAGAAGCAACAACAGCAGAATCAGACTCTACCTTTACAGCCTTTCCAGCTTGCATTCGGTCACCAAGGCCAGAAGCAAGGCCTTCCTGAATTGTTACATGTCTTTCAACAAGCCCCAGCTTCCTCCAACCCAGTCTTTACTACCCAGCAGAAACAACAGTCTCTTCCCCAGCTGCAACTGTTTGAAAACTTCTACCCACAACAGCAGCAACAGGCCGCCACACAAGCCTTCAACCTCCAGCAAGCTGCCTCTATAGCACATCCCCATGTGGCAGCAACAGCACCCCAGCATCATATGGTGGCCCACCAGTACCAGCAACCGGAGAGGAACCAGGAACTCTTGAAAGCCCTAACAGAGCAAAACCAACAGACTGTGCTACCTCAGACCCAGATACCCTTTCCAAGGAGGTCAAGGAGACTCTCCAAGGAAGGTATTTTGCCATCTGCTTCTTCAGGAGAAACACCGGCTTCTAAACAAGTAGAGGAACAACCTAGCAATCTTTTCCTGCATCACTGGCAACCACAGCAGCAAGGACTTCAGTTTCAGCATGAGACTGAAGCTCTGAGCCACAAGGGTAGCTATCCACAGCCCACAAGAACACATCTGGGACAAAAGGAGACCCTGAGTAGTGATGACTTGAACCAGCCTGACACAGAGAGGCAGGCCACATCCTATAATGGCAGAGATGGGGAGAAGCAAGTGGCAATGACCGAAGAAAGCACTCAGAGAACTAATGACTTTGTGGGGGTGAGAGGTGGTGTGATCCAGAGCACCCGAAGAAAACGGTGTGTTTCTCAAGAGGTCAATCTGCTAACTCTGGCACAAAAAGCTGTTGAACTGGCTTCTCTTCAAAATGACAAGGTAAGGGATACATCCTGACCAATATAGCATTTCTAAAATAGCCCCCATACTGTATCGCATCCTAAAAATACATCTCTCAGAGAAAAAACGTGTGGGAAGTCAACCTAACTGAAGAGAGACAGAGTATACTACTGCAGAGTCAGCTCTGGAATGGTAGCAGGGGCGGGACCTGGTTACAGAAACTGTTACATGTATGATCTCCTCAGAGTGCAGTGAGGCTACCTGAGCAGTATAATTTACTCCAGTGGTATTGAATAAAACTCCTAACCCGGCCCCTCAAAATAAAATATAGCTAGCTATTCAAGCTGATGAAGAATTTAGAATAACAGGTGTAAATCTTGGTTTCTTATGGCCTGTTTCACCTGACCTCTTTCTTAAAATCTGCCTCTCTTGACTAATCCTCACAGTCAAAACATGAAGGATGACATCTTTAACAAATCATTTTAAAATATTTTTAAAACATGAAATAAATTTTTAAAATTCCAAATTGAGACAGCCATGAAGAAATCTGTCTAACCTATAGGACAAAGGCCTGTAGGAGCCTTTGTAGGGCTTATTGGGGAAGACATGCTATCTCTTGGTGAATAAGAGATCAGAGCAATCAGTCCATTGCTCCCTCTAGTGTTCCATAGCCATAAGCTGAATCATATCATGTCACATGGTGAGATGAGGAAATAGGAGGCCAAGAACTAAGGGGCGTAACTGAGAACTATGTTCTCTTCCAACCTTTCTTTGGCTGGTCTCACAGTGAATCCCTCACGTGGGAAGGCAAAAGATCCTTTTCTCTAAAGACTTCATTGCTGAGTGGTGTGGAGGTGGTGGGGAACAAAGCGTGCATGTCAGGATATATAACTATCTTTGCAACGGTGCATTGGAGAACAGTGACAAGGAAAATAAAAACATTTCCTTTTTGACATTCCCCCCCTTGAACTCCTGCTTGCTCAGTGGTTGCTTTGCCTATCCGCTCTATACAGGGACGTGTAGTTCATTCAGTTTTTGTGAGCAGTCAGAGGAAGTGCACACACAGTGCTTCATCTGTTCCACAGAAGACCAACAAAAACCTTCGTCAATTAGTTAATCGACCTTGTTAACATGATCACCTTTTCCTTGCTGCGCCATTCCTATTGAGCAAGTTAATTGTTAGCACACTTGGTAGAAAACTGGGGAGTAGTTAGCAATGTGAAATATGTACTCTTGCTTATCTATTGCCCTCCCACCCGCAACATGCTTATACTTATCCAAGTAGAGCTGCATTACACAAAATCTGATCATCAGCACAGTGAGTACAGTTAGAGAGATCTGGTTGTGTATTTAAGAAAAAGCTTGGGGGAGATCAAATCGAATTTGACAGTTGAAACAAGACATTTCACCCCTAGTCGTGCAAGCATATTGCCATGGTTAGCAACTTGAGGACAAAAGGAAGCAATATTTATGACCGATTCTGTCTGTTCTTCCCAATGAGCAGTGAAAAGGGTTTGATTCCACAGTGGCCCAAATGGAAGGGATTCTGTACACCCCACTCTTCTAAATAGCTTTGAAAATCTCATCTTGAATGTATAAAATGATCAGTCTGGGGCTTATGAAGCCTACATTTTTAAGGGGTTAACTACAGCGGATCACTGGGTGGATGCGTGTGAGAGAGAGAAAAGTCATATGTTTGTTTGTGGGAGTGTGGTCTGCTCCCCCACTCTCCTTAGTCCAGTGGTTTTCTGTCCCACAATACAAGATGCTGCTTCCACTGTTGACTCCTTTCCGCTGATCAGAAAACCTACTGAGCACAAATCTAAAAGGCACCTACCTGATTATTGTAGCTTATGCAAAGAACATATATAAGAAGAGTAGAGGACCACGGAGCTGATGAAAGAGGTTTATTTATTCATTTTAGTAAGGTACATTTCCATTGGCTAAAGTATAGTACAAAAGTCAGTTTAGTTCTTTGGTCAAGAAATTCAATTATATGAGCTCTCAAAGAAGAGGGAAAACCAGGGAAAGCAGGTATGTTACAGTTCAGCAATTTGGATCAAAAGTCAGATACTTGGAACTGCAATATACAGATGTTCCCAAAATAATGAAAATACCTACCCATGTGCTTATGGGGAGGTATTGGGGAAGTTATGTGTAGGGCATAAGTCAATCTGGAACACAAAATGTAAAACTATGGGTGGGGGACTGAAGGATCAAGAGAGTAGTTGGTACTGTTTCTAACGCCAGTTGAAATAAATGGGACAACTCTAAAATAGTTTTGCCAACTTATGGAAGATAGTTCAGATAAAGTATCCTTTTCCCCAGATATTGTAGTTCTGAGTACTTTCCAGCTAAGAGAATGATTTGTTGAGAATACCATGGAACCCTGAAATAAGAGATTTATATTGAAAGTGATATATTGTCTGATTAAAAGGTGGGTGATTTAAAACTTTTAAGGTACATGTGGGATTTTTTTCATCTTGTCTTCAGGAATTGGATACTTCAGAAGAGAAAAAGAAGAAGAATGTGGTGGTTGCAGCACCTGCAGCAGCCAAAAGTGTTTTGGAATTTGCCAGTTCTCCACAACCCTCCAAGAGACCCCGGGAAGATAGCAGCCTCGTGCCTCTAATCATGCCTGTGTCTGTGCCAGTGAGGAAATTCGACTTGCAAGCTATTGGGAAGGAAAAGGGTGAGGAAGGGAAACTCCAGAGAGTGCTAGCAAATGATCGAGGTCTTTCTGAACGCAAGCCCTCTGTGATAGTCACCCGAAGAAGGTCCAATCGCAGCTCCAACATGGAAACCTCAGTCCAGGTATGGTCACGTTAATAGACCTAGGGAGACTGAAGTCTGCTAAATCTACGTGCCCAGCTTCATCCTTTCTGTTGAAACAACTTTTAATTGTGAATGAGTAGTTTGAGTCTCCTAAACTTGAAAGGGGCACATTGTCTTTCGCTGAATTTGATCCAGAGACCATATCTTAGTCCTGTATGTAGAGGGTTGGGGTTTTTTTTTATGTGCACCCCTGCCATCTGATGGTTAATCTGTGGAACACCACTGGCTTTTTGAGGCCTATTGTTGGTACTAAAATAGCCAAGTAATGCCCACTAGAAGTCTGGAGGATAGAGGAAATGAAGGTAGACAGTGTGTCTCTGAGTAAATAATGTGTTTGCTGTTGGAAGCTTGCTCTATTCAAGTGATCTTCATTTAGCAGAGCTATGCTTTAAATAAGGGGCATTTTTACCATTCATGAACAGGTAACTTTGAGTTGTAAAACTATGCACCTATCTTTGGGTTCTAAGTCCCAAACTGGATCTTTGTTCACATGGCTACCGTGATGTTATAAGAATCCCTTGTTGGGGTTCCCTCAATAGCTACTTTTTATTTATTTGTTTATTTGAATATTGCATCTAGCCAGAAGAGAGAGATTGAGATAAAGGATTATAGTGGATAATTTTGCTGTCTGGAGAGATGACAAATGGTATATAGTTCCTAAGCAACTGCAGACTTTTGAGAAAAGACCTTGGATTTTCCTCTGTTCTATCATTCAAAGTGACTAATTCCTCCTCTCACCCTGTGGGGTCATCTGTGTGTGTCAGAGTTCTATTAAAATCCCATCTTCCCCCTTCATGACCACCATGTTACAATTGCCATCTTTCTAACCCAGCATCAGACTGGATCTCTGTCTGGAGCCTGTAAATGCAACTTTATAATCTACCAGAAGTGTTGTCGCTGAATAATAGCATGCCCCCCCACACTCCCCATTAGGGCTGCATGCAGTGCCTCTTAAGCAGCCCTAGCCAGCTCCTATCCTGCAGTGCACTGAGCCTGTCATCTCACTGAGATTTTTTAAACAATCTGAAGGCATCATTAAAATACAATTTAGTGTTTAGATCAGCGTTTCTCAAACTTCATTGCTCCGTGACCCGCTTCTGACAAGAAAAATTACTGCATGATCCCCGTGCCCTGTGTTACTCAGAATAGTTAGTGTTTTAAATAAAAAATGCATTACACGGCCGTATCAATGAAAAGTAGCCACTAAATATTTTAATGCACAATACAATCACAAGACAATCTTTATATCCAGTAATTAAAAAATGAAAATAAATAGGCACCAAATGGGAGGGGTGAGCTTGCATTGATGAACACAAATCCTTGAGTGGGGCTCTGTGTGGCTGAGATAAAGGCAGAAGTCATCTTCAGCAGTGAGACGGGACCTGTATTTATTTGTTTTTTTCAGTGCTTCAGCCCCCATGGGTGCCTGCGGAGAGGTGGGCAGGCTATCTAGGGTTTCAGCTTCCCTTCTTTGCCCATGGACCTCTGGGCTGGGGCTTTCTGCCCTGGTGACCCCATCAAAATGAGGTCGTGACCCACACTTTGAGAACCCTGGTTTAGAAAGTTGTATTAAAAGGATTTGTTTTCTTTTTGTAGCATGAAGATGCTGCTCCAAAGGAGGAATCGGAGGGCTTTGCCCGGAAACCAAAGCAGCGCCCAAGACCTGAGCCACTCTTCATACCACCAAAAGCAGGCACCTTCATTGTCCCTCCAGTCTATTCCACCATCACTCCATATCAGAGCCACTTACGCTCACCTGTGCGCCTTGCAGATCACCCTTCAGATAGGAACTTTGAGCTACCTCCTTACACACCTCCACCGATTCTCAGCCCAGTGAGAGAAGGTTCTGGGCTGTATTTCAATGCTATCCTCTCTGCTAGCGGTCACTCAATTCCACCTCCAATGACCCCTAAAAGTACTCACAGAACTCTGCTCAGATCTAGTAAGTTCCCTTCTTTGTCCTGTTGGGAGTGGGAGGCTGAGTGCCAACGCGAACAAAATCATGGCTCTCTTAGACAGTTATGGATAGCTGGATGTGGAGCTTCCTGTTGGGAAACTTGGGGAAATGTGATGTAGCAGAACTGATGCTGCCATATTTGGAGATGTTACTTAGGATGAACCCACCATTGATCTCCTGCACCCCCTACTAACTTCCGAAAGAAAAGATTTAGTCTTGAAAGAGTTAGTTCTCTCAAGCATGGGATTAGTTTAGCTGAAATATGAGAAAGAGTTTGCTTTAAGGATTGGGATACTGTGACGAAAATAGTGGACCAGAATGAAGTGGTGGGTGAAAATTCAAAAATCCCTCTTCAGCTTACTGTTCTTTGGCAGTTGAGTGCCTGTTTTGGGTGATGGAAAGTCTGTGCTCCAATGTGGTGTTCACACACTTGCACATCTGCCCCAAACATAAAATTAATGAGTTTTGATCAAGCCTGTTGCTTGTCTTACAGATAGTTCAGAAGTCACCCCTCCCATCCTTTCAGTAATGGGGGAGGCCACCCCAGTCAGCATTGAACCGTAAGTATCAATACAATCGTACAAAATCCACCTCTTTGCTTGATGGCAAACATATATTCCTTACCCCGCTTATAGATTTAGGAGGATAGGAAAGTGCCGCAGGGTCCCCTTTTGTTGGTTTATCTTTTAGAAATTTACAGACTCACTCCTATGACTGTCTTTATTAAAAGTGTGTAGGGTTTTCTTTTTTTCTAGATTGAGGCAGAGTAAATTTATTGATGATCCATGCACTAAATAATTTCTTATGGTCCACTGAACAGTTGCCACAGTGGTAACTATTTTCCATCACTACTCTTCAGTTGCTGGGCTGAATTTGAACTACTGTAGTTAGCTAAAGGTGGCAGGGTCACTGTGTCATTCCGCCATGCATAAACTTTATTATGCATGTTGTATACTTTTTTTTAAGAGTTAGGAAATATTGCTTCTTAAAGGGAAGGCAAAGCAGAGAATGGACAAACATAGTTAATTTTCAGAATATAAGCTGCTTCAGGAACAAAGGTAACTGGAGCGTTTGCTCCAAATTCATAGAGCTTTCTTTTCTTTTAAATAATGGTAACTGAGTTAGCAAAACAAAGGGGAGTCTTTAACCCTAAAAATATAAATTGCATTAATCATTTTCTCCCTACTTTATCTTGCTACTATCAGGTGATTCTACAGCTTATAGCAACTGGTGCTGACCATAGTTCATACTTCCCTATACTTCGTTTTGAGTTGCCTTTCTGTGGTTCAGTTGCTCATTCTATCTCAAGCCATCTGTTAATGTTGCTCAGTAAGTCAACTGATGGCAGAGATATGGAGTGGAAAAGAGGGTAGTCAAAGGTTGTGCTCATATTTGGACTCATGAAATAGTACAGTGTGCAGCTGTGCTCAGTGGGGCTGGTTGTGGATTTTCTTCTCCTTTCCTCCTGTAATCAAATCTCTTTGTTGATTTCGAGTCTGGATAGCACCGCTTCTGTCCTGCACATTGGTCAGCTAGGAGAACCAAGAGAAAACTAATAGAACCTAACATACCGCTTGAATGTTCTTGATTTGTATTAGAGCTGAGTGCTTTGTAAGCAATCAGACCTCTGATTAGAGACTGAGTTGAAGTTCAGCAGTTCTAAGGGACCCACTCGTTAAATAGAACAACATAATTAGTAAAACAACACTAGAAATAGGTAAGCGGGCATTAAGCCTTTCACCTCTAGGTCACCATCTTAGGTCTGACTCAAGTAGTAGTAGTTACTGAATGTTGTTCTTGCCTGTGGCTATCATGTGGCCTATGTTTTGATCTCTTTGGGATCGATTGTGTTTTTAGAAGAGAGGTGCCTTCTAGATATTGTGAGGTGGTTATTGTCATTATTTGTTCTCCATTTCCCAGGCGAATCAATGTGGGATCCCGGTTTCAAGCAGAAATCCCTGTGCTCCAAGACAGATCTTTGGCGTCAGCTGACAAGCATAAGGCGGATGTGGTGTGGCAGCCATGGGGGGACCTGGAAATTAACAAAACTACTCAAGAGAATGGTAAGGTTCTGGAGAGATTGGTAAATGGACCTCAGACAAAAAGTAGCAGCTTTGGTAGGGTAGCTGTGTCCTCTATGTTAGGCTCCATTTTAAATAGCTTCACACTACTGATCAGGTGTCAAGTTTCACTAAGTGTTGCTGAAAACTTCTTGTGGAAGATTATGAAGAACAAGGATTCATAGACCTGAAAGGCCAGAAGGGACAAATTAGATCATTGGCTGAGTGAAGCAAGGCATTACATTCAGCTCTGTTTTTGCAGTGGTGGTATAGCTGTGTCGGTCCCAGGATATGAGAGAGAAAAGGTAGGAGAGGTAATATCTTTTATTGGACCAACTTCTGTTGGTGGAAGGTACGAGCTTTTGAGCTACAGAGAGCCTTCAGGCCTGGGGAAGGAAGTAGAATGTCTCAGGGCTTGTCTACTCTTAAAATGCTACAGCAATGCAATTGCACTGCTGTAGTGCTTCAGTGAAGACGCTGCCTATGCTGACAGGAGGGGTTCTTTCCCTTCAGCACAAATAATCCACCTCCTAGAGAGGCCGTAGCTAGGTTGTCCAGAGAATTCTTTCTACAGTGGGGTTTTAGGCCTGTTTAAACCTGTTTTATCACTCAGGGGTGTGGATTTTTTGCACCCGTGCACGACCTAGTTATACCAGTCTAATTTGCTAGTGAGGACCAGGCCTGAGCTAATTACAAGTTGGGAGAGATTGTTAAATGGAAGAGGTAACATGGGAGACAGTCACTTGAAATGAAGTGGGCAATGGGGAGTTAGGTTGTTATGCATAAAGGGTTTGAAGTGGGCAATTAAGGGTAGCGTTACAAATTGTAATGAGACATAAAACCAGTGTCCCTGTTAAGTCCGTGGCTTTTGGTGTCTACCAGAGTTAAGAATTTAAGTTTCCAGTCTCACCTTTTGAAGGCCTTCTCCTCAAGGGAAGCCTGTGCTAACACTGAAAGGTCAAATATGAAGTGATCACTTTGTGAAAAGAGTTCAGGGTAGCAGCCGTGTTAGTCTGTATCCGCAAAAAGAAAAAGAGGACTTGTGGCACCTTAGAGACTAAATACCTTCGTTAGTCTCTAAGGTGCCGCAAGTCCTCCTTTTCTTTTTGTGAAAAGAGTTTGCCCACAGGTGATTTGTCTTTTATCATTTTTCTGTGTGAGTTCATTTGAGAGCATAGTAATTTTCTGGTTTCACCAACGTTGTTAGGGCATTTGATGCACTGGATGAGGTATGCTAGGTGTTACAATGAGCATGTGTAGGACCCATGAATCTTGAAAAGTGGTGTTGTGGGTAGTATTGATCATCATAGCAGTGGAGATACGTCTGCAAGTTTTGCATCTGTTGTTCCACCAACAGCATAAAAGGTATTCTTCAATTCTGTGGCATTTCTTTGTCTGTAATATAATTTTTGTACATTGTATCAGATACATTCCAAAATTTCAGGGAATGTTCTAGGCATCAGTGGGGAGAACCCTATAGATTTTGGTGAAAAGTGGAAAAACTGAAAGAGGGAAAGGGGGGATACATGGAGTTCTAGCATCTGGTTAGCACCCAGCAGCTTCAACCACCTGTTCAATGGTCTGAAGATCAAAGAACCAGTTGATGGCAGCCATTGACACCTTCCAGCATAACAGTAGCCCCCATCTCAGCTCTGCGCATCCTCCCAGTACAATTTAAAAATATTGACACCTAAATTACTTCTCTCCCAGGGAGAGGGAAGGGAAAAGGAATAAAATGGGGGAATGGGGCTTACATAGAGCACCTGGCATGAAGGGGAGACTTGGGGACATTAGTGTCTGAGGAGGGAGACATGTGGGACACACAGCCCCTGGCATGGGGCAAGTTTCCCATCTCCCAGAGGAATGCTCTAACTACCAGACTGTAGAGTCATTTTCATTATTTCTCTGGCCAAATGGCTATCCATTGTCATTCACAGTGGCAATTCATAGTCATTCGTGATGACAATGGATAGTCGTTTGGCCAAAGAAATAATGAGAGTGACTACAGTGTGGTTAGGGCACTCACCTCAGAGGTGGGAGAGCCAGGTTCAAGTTCCTGCTCCAATGACTATTTCTAAAAAGTGGAACAAGTGGAGAAATTGAGAGCGCCCCACACCAGAATATCACATACCCTAGTGGCTAGGGCACTCTCTTGCAGTGTGGGGAGGCTCAAGTTCAAATCCCATTTCTGCATCAGGCAGAGGGGGAAATTGCATCTAGGGACAGGTCTACAACTAAAACTTAGATTGACCCTACATTGCTCCGGGGTATGAGAGACCTAGTTAAGCCAACCTAAGCCCCAGTATAGAGATTGCATAGCTCAATGGAAGAATTCTTCTGTTGACCTAGCTACTGTCTCTTGAATAGTAATTCCATCGCTGTAGCAAGTGTGTACACTACGACGGTGTAGCTGTAGCGCTTGTAGTGTAGTCTCAGGGTCCCACATCCCAGGTGAGTGCCTCAACAAGTGGGCTAAAGTTATAAGGGAGGTGGTGGTACCACCGCTTTTTCTCCCATCCATTTTGTCAGCCTAGTCATAGAATCATAGAATATCAGGGTTGGAAGGGACCTCAGGAGGTCATCTAGTCCAACCCCCTGCTCAAAGCAGGACCGATCCCCAATTAAATCATCCCAGCCAGGGCTTTGTCAAGCCTGACCTTTCCTTTACTTTTGTCAAAATGCTGGAAATTGGAAACGAAAAAGTTCGTTTTTGATTCGCCAAAGAATTTTGAAAAATACCTTTTTTGACATAGCTGGGCCTGTATTAGAGGTTTTTCTGGCATAGCTGTGCAAGCTAGGGGATGTGGACCCCTCCCCCCCCCACTCCTGGCCAACAGAATTGTGCCAACACAACTATGTAGGGTAGAGCTGGCCTGAATTCTGGGTTTGTTCACTTACTGAAGCAGTAGTTCTTGACCACCCTTTTCTGGAAAAAGAAGGAAATGGTATTTGCACGTTCATTCAGATTTGTATTTTCTCACCTTGGTCCCATAGTGTTCTTAAATGCTAACCTAGAGAGGAAATATCTTCTCCCTTCCCCCCGAGCAAGAGGGAAATTCAAACACTGAGGTTCATTCAGTCTTGGCTCTCTTCCCTTCCCCTTAGTCCTGCATTATTATATCTTATCTGAACATCACCTGGATTCACCATCCTTTCTTAATGTGAGAGGGAGTTCAAGTTCTGTGATCATTCAATCTTGTGTTCTTTGCTAGTTTCTCTAGTTTTGACGAGAAAGGATCAATTAGGATAAAATAATGCAAATCCTACTGTTGCCCAAGATATACGTGGACACTCGCTCATCGAAAACTCTTCTGAGAGACCCTCACCAGCCAGACTCATTGAATATGGGGAAAAATAGCAACTACTTTTCTATTTCTTAATCTGATCTTTTGCTTCTTCCACCCCATCCCTTTTTTTTTGGTTTGATGGCACTTTCCTGGTAATAGTGGAAAATCTGCTAACTGCCTCCTGTTCAAGTATTTTTCCTGGGGCTGGTACCAATCAGGAGCTGGCGCTGCACGTCTTGCATGAAGCAAAGGGAAACATTCTGGTGAGTCCTCTTCAATCTTCTGTCTGTCTTTTGGGATTGTGGGAAGAGACCTTAATGCTCACTATAATCAAGGACTGATTGCACCAGCAAGAAGCTTATTTGAAAGAAGGAAGCTTGCAAAGCACTACACAGTTCTGCCAATACATCTGAATCCTAATGCTCATCACCTCTTGCTGTCACTATTCCAAACATGGCCCCGCACAGCTCTGCTGATTGCACCTCTATTTTGTCCTGCACCATCCTTGCTATTTCAGTCTTTGGCCTCTCCTAAGCAGAGACTGCTAAAAATGTCGAACTGCAGCAGACTGTAGGTGGTTTCTGTTTTTAGCTTGCAGGGATCAAGTGGCTGAGATTGCTAAACTAAATTCACTTGCCCTCTGAATTGGAAGTCAAGTCTCATGTGAGGGAGCAGTGTCTACTGGTTTTACAGCATGGGACTGGGAGTTAGGACTCCTGGGTTCAATTCTTGCCTCTGTCATTGACTCTCTTTGTGACCCTAGGCAAGTCACTTAACCTCTCTTTGCCTATCTGTGAAATGGGTATATTTACTTACCTTGCAGCAGTATGTAACCATTTATGTTTATAAAACACTGATTTCTCTGGTAAATGCTGTAAAATTGCAAAGTGTAGCTGTTTAGTGCATCCACCTTTCATAATCTTCTCTAACTTCAGCACAAATGGTAGCTATAGTTTAAGTGCAAATAAAAAGTGGCTACAGTTGAATGGCTTTATAGTCTCTGAGATAAATTTCTTCCACTGAAGTGATCCTTCCATTTTATTTCGGAATATTGTTTACTCAAGTGAGCTGAGATTTCTAAACACATTTCACTGGTGTCCTGGATCTGCAAAGGAGTGGAGGCCAGTGGGAAGTGGCTTTATAAGAGAGCACATGCTACATGGGATCATCACTACACAAGATAATACTTCTATAGGGCCTTTCATCTGTGGGAGTAATAATCCTGTCTCTCAACACCTTTTATGAGCTAGAGTAGGTGAGTAGTATTTTATCCAATTTACAGATGGAAAAGTGGAGGCATGGAGAGGTGAGGGCACTTGCACAAGGTACCAGAGAGTCAAGAACAGAAAGCTTGTGTCTTGACTCACATTTCGCTGTTCCAAATGCTAGAGCATAGGGTGGGAAAGAGAGCTTTTAATATGATTAACCTGCTGGTAGAGGATGATACTAAGGGGATTGCCTGATGTTCTTTGTTGTAATACCTGTATAAGTTAGTGTCCTACATGAAGCTAATTCTGTTGTTGTACTGTCTCTTAGGCTACTTTGACCAAATTGCTGCTGAAGAGGCCAATGCGATCGCCATACCACCCACTGGCAGACTATCACTACACAGGTATGCCGAGGGGAAGGCAACAGATAAACTCAGCGCGGCTGCCTCTGTTTCCTTTGTAGGTGGCAGCCCTAGCTGCAGATAGGGAATTTTTTCCTGATCCTCCTTCACCCTTTTGCACAGCAGGTGATGGTGGTTGTTGCTGCTCTTTTAATATTGATATAGTGTCATCCTCCCCCCCCCCCCCCCCCCGAAGCTTTATAGGAATCGGTCGTCATCCCTTGCCCGGATGAGTGCAGTGGCGAATTTCAGGGATTCTTGCCTGCAGCTGTCATGACACTTAGGATTGGCTAGTGTGCTGCACACACCACAAGTCCATTAGTCACTGAGCCACTCTTTTGTATACACAGGCTTGTCAAGGGACTAGATGTCTTCACAGAGAGCAATCGCAGAAGGGAGGCTTATGGGTGGTGGAAGGACTGTCCAAATCTCAGGAATGCAATCTCTGTGGCATGAATTCATAGCAGGGAATTGAGAGAGAGTATTAGTGGGAGAATTTCCAGTCGCTAGTAACCTATGCTGCTTACAGTAGGATGTTAGAGAGTACAGACACTAGCAGGTTATTGCATCTCATTGTTTCCTCTATGGAAGGAAAACTGCAATGTCGGATGAGCTATGTCTGTCTGTACCCTCACTCAATATATAACCAATTGCAAGATAGTGACTTTCGTGACCCAGGATGTCCCTAGGCAACCCTGGGAGACCTTGGTCTGGTGAGGGTAGAGAGAAGCTCAATAGCTCCATCTCTAGTGCACAAAAATTACACGTCTGTTCACATTACAAGTACAACGGCTCTTTGACACAGCCACAGTGGAATGTACTCTGGTAGTGTGGATAAAGAAAGAATGTGGGAGAGCTAAGGGACATTCTGGATTGTGTGTTTTCTTGTTGGAGGTGCAAGAGTGTTATTGTACTAAGACTACTTCAGATGTGTAATGAACTGCATATAGTTTGGGCTGGTTTTATTTAAAGGAAACCTAAAGAAAATACAACTAGATGAATAAAAGCTTGAAATGAAATAGGTTTCAGTTCAAACTTCTTTACTTATAGGATCGGACAGGTGGAAAGTTGATGAGAAGAAGCTTTTCAACAAAGGCATTGCAATCTACAAGAAAGACTTTTTCCTGGTCCAGAAACTTGTAAGTTATTCCGTCAGTTACTTAATGCACTGTGGAAGGGTTCACCTGAGCTAATGCAGTTGGTGCTGACAGTGATACCATCAACACAAAATATACTGCATTCCCTCTTGGGTGCTGTGGGGTTTTGTGTGTTTGTTTTTTCTTCCTTTCCCCAGACTCCCCAAATTTCCTTTGAGTGATTAAACTTAAAAAAAAAATTGAAAACATAGTGCTACTTATTGATTTCCTTTCCCCCCACATTAATCAATCCAATCTCCCTCATTTAGCCCAGGACACAGATCAATTACACAGAATATATTTATAAAGTGATGGGAGTGCTCCAGTAACACTCAAGTAGCCCAGTTACAAACCTGAATAAGAAAAATTCCCATTGTGGTAAAATGTCCCATAAATTACTCCTGACAGAATTCTGCACCCCCGGCCCGCATATTTCTGTGCCCCTGTGAAGAAAAATGCAAAAGAAATTTGCTGGGGGACACGTGCCTCTACCCCGGTAGCCCAGGCAGTGTGTGAATTCCAATGTGCCTGGCCCTGGAGCAGCCTCTGAGATGCAAGTCGCTGCAGGGGGAGAGGGGCTGGGTGTGCGTGCCTGGAGGAGAGATGTTGATCACCATCAGGGGGCGGGGCTGGGTGTGTGTGCCTGCCAACAAGTGAGAGAGACTCTGTCCCTCTCGCTTGCTATTGTGGCTCACCAGGGGTGTGGAGGGATAGGTCTTTTTATTATGCATGAGGAAGGCTCTTTCCCACAGGCAGAAATGTAGCAGCCTGCCTGCTACTTAATTGATCTCATTCTCTGAGGCAGAAATGTAGCAGCCTGCCTGCATAAGTAACATTGTTAATGTTCCTGTTGTTGGTTAACTGTTTCTGTTCTCAGTCAATTCCCCCAGGAGGATAAAACCTGTAAAAGGTTTAAGGCCCCTACATTGCCAGAGTGATGTAAAGGAGCCTTATTATAAATGACAGTAAGGGAATCAGCTAAGAAGATCTATGTGCTTTCTCACTTTTTTCCTGTGCCAAAGTGTCACAATGGGGTTTTATTACGGCTCAGGATTTATTTTACTTACCCATTTGAAAAAAAAGAGTTTGAGGGCAAATAAAACATTTATCAAGCAGTCAGTTAAAGGTCAGGACAATCAGAAGCAAGCACTTCCCAAAGTACCCAGCCAGGTCCAGGATAATGATTAGCAAAACTGTATGGCTTTTATGTGTGAAAGTCTCTGAGCAATTTAAAATGACATCCTACTTTTTGTTGTTGCTGCTGCTGCTGTTTGGTGTTCTGTAATGTAATTTAAATGAAAATCCAGGATTATAACTGGAATGCAGGGTATTAGTTACCAAGTGTTTGTAACTTAACTTTCACGTGTTTAGGAAATGCTGAATAGTTATTGTGACTTTTTTCTGTATTGTAGTTTAAATAAATTAACAAAACAAGTGAAACTGGTGTGATTATATTGTATTATTTTGACAAATAAAATATGCAGAATTTTGCTGAACATTTAATTTTTTGGCACACAATTTTTAATTTTTTGGTGCAGAATCCCCCCAGGAGTAATAAATGGATTGGTGAAATATTTAGTAGTTTTACTTCCAGTGTTCTATAAAAATTAGAGACAGTGAAAATGTCTTCTTAGTAAATGCCTTCTATCCATTTTAACCTATCATGAAGATGTTTTCATTGGAGGTAAAGCTACAGGAAAAAAAGAAAGGCAGGAGTAGTTTTCAAATTTCTCATGAATAAATAACAAATGTGCAAAACTTTGTATTAACTTGTGAAAGCCTAGGCATTAACAAAAGCTAATACACTGCCTCCAAACTCTCAAATACATCACAGATAGAACATGTGTAATTGTCCTTGGGTCTGCTGATGATCAGGTGTTCCCAGATGGGTACAGAACTGAAAAGTTCTGCATGCCTTCCTCCCTATCTGTTAGACTTGCTTTTTGGTTGTTCCTTAGCGAATATGTTGTTGGAAATTAAATACCTCCCAGGAAGCTGTAAGTCTGCTCTGAGACCTGACAACTCATTTGCAATGTTGCAGATACCCTTATGGAGTGCACATTTCTCTTTGTATGTCTACACTGCAGCTGGTTGCAAGCCTCCCAAGCTGAGTAGACAGACTCTCACTACCAGGGCTTGAGCTTAATGAGCTCAAAATAGCAGCCTGGTCGTTTCAGCTCAGTCTGCAGCTCAGGCTTTTAAGTCTTGGGGAACGCATGAGCCTGAGAGCCCAAGCTCCAGCCTGAGCCACAACATCCACGCTACTATTTTTAGCATGCTTGCTAGAGCGTGTGTCCACCTGTGCTGAGAGAGACACCCTTACCTGCAGCGTAGGCATATCCTCAGGCTTGTCTACACATAAACCCCTACAGGGGCACTGCTCCAGCTGCACTGCTATAGCACTTCAGTGAAGACACTATCTGTGTTGATCGGAGGGGTTCTCCTATCTGCATAGGGACTCCATTTCCCTGAGAGGTGATAGGTAGGTTGACAGGAGAATTCTCCCATCAACTTAATGCCGTCTAAACCAGGGGATAGGTTGGTTTAACTGTGTCACTCACAGGGCCGGATTAACTCTTCTATGGGACAGGGGCTATTGCATTTTGTGGGGGCCCCCCCCGTATGCACGTATTTTTCCTGGGAGGGAGGTTGGTGCAGGAGGGGGCTAGGGCAGGGGATTGGTGTGCAAGAAGGCGCAGGGTCTGAGAGGGAGTTTGGGTTCAGAAGGGGGTTCTGATCTGGGGCAGTCGGTTGGGGTAGAGGAGGGGGTGTGAAGTGTAGGCTCCGGCCAGGAGGCGCTTATCACAGGCAGCTCCCGGCCTGCAGGGCTCAGGCAGGCTGCCTGCATGCTGTGGCTCCACACTGCTCCCGGAAGCAGCTGGCAGCTAGCATGTCTCTGCGACCCCTGCGGGGAGGGGGACAGCATGTCTCTGTGTAGTGCTCACGCCCACAGCTCCCATTGACTGGGAACCCGCCCCCCACCAGGGGTCACAGGGACGTGCTAGCAGCCGGCTGCTTCCAGGAGTGGCATGGGGTCACAGCATGCAGACAGCCTGCCTGAGCGCCCCACTGCACCGTGGGACTCTTAGCAGCCCGGAGTTAGAGATCGCTGCCTGTGATTTATTTTTGTGGGGCCCCCCTTGAGCTGGGGCCCAGGGCTGCAGCCTCTAAAGCCCCTGCCTTAATCTGGCCCTGGTCACTCAGGTGTAGATTTTTCAACCCCCAGAGCGACATAGTTATACCAACCTAATTTCCTAGAGTAGACCAGGCCCCAGTGCCAGTTCTGCCATCCTGGTGTTGACTAGTACCATATTGTGCAAGTAGCTCCATTGAAATTTATGGGATTATTTAGCCTAAAGTGCTGCTCAGTGTGAGTAAAGGTGCCGGAATCTAGCCCTGAGAAATTCCAGTGGAGGCTAAAGAAAATGTTTGTGGGAAACATAACAACGTGTAAAGAACTTAAAACAGTTTTCATATAATAGAAAGATATTGTTGGAAAAGAAAATTACAATGTAAAGTGACTTGTAATTTCACTTTTACTGAATATTAATACACCTTTTAAAAGGAGTTTGCCTTTTCTTTTCTTTTTTTTTTAACACTAGATAAAAACCAAGACGGTGGCCCAGTGTGTAGAGTTTTATTACACATACAAAAAACAAGTGAAAATTGGTCGGAATGGGACCTTAATCTTTGGGGATGTTGATGCCACTAATGAGAAGTCTATGAAAGATGAAGCTGAGGTTGATATCAAGGTAACCGCCCAACTCCCTTTCTTGCTTTTGGCTTTGGTGCCAAATGTGAACTTCATGGACTGAATCACAGTTCACTCTTTCTAATTTTACTGTTGCTACATATATACAAGAAATAATAAATATGGTCCTAACTATTGCATAGATTCCGTAAGTAACTGTCTGATTAGAAACTCTTGTGTTTCTAAGGCCATGTCTACACTGTCACTTATTTCAGCAAAACTTTTGTTGCTTAGGGGTATGGAAAAAACAGCCCCTTGAATGACATAAGTTTTGCCAGCATCAGTGCTGGTGTGCACAATGATATGTCAGTGAGAGATGCTCTCCCGCCGACATAGCTATCGCGGCTTGTTGAGCTGGTTTTATTGTGTCGACAGAAGAGCTCTCTCCAGGCAGCATAACGTGGCTGCACAAGCGCTCTTACAGCGGCTCAGCTGCGCCACTGAAAGCTTGTAAGTGTAGACATGGCCTAAGTCTCTCTGACCTGCTGCCGTTACCATCAGAGACATGTCAGGCTGAAGTTCACTAGGCCCAGCCTCCCATCCTTTTTCACATAATTACTTCAACTTGCTGTAGAGCTGAAGCTCAAAGAAGAAAATATTAACTCTGTCCCTTTACCATTTCTTCATGTGAAGAGTTCCCATAGGTTTGCACGTGTTCTTCCTCCCAGAAAGGAGAATTACAGTGAGGAACATACACACGTGGAGGAGGTGGCTGAGAAGGAGGAAGAGTTGGATGACAGGAAGAGCACAGTGCCTCTCAAGGCCACACAGACACTACAAGCCAACGAAGTGGTCAGTGATGCTGAGCTGCATGTACTTCCCCCCACCAGTCCTTCCCACCCCGCCCCCGGTTAACAGTTTGGAAAATGTTGAATAATTCCAGACAAAGTGTCTTCATCTTTAACTTTTCCTGGTGGAAGGAGCTGGAACTGGAATAACTCTGAGTATTACCAGCATCAAGATGGTGTCCTATGAGACTTGATGGACGGGGAGAGGTGGTGACTGGGAATGTGATGAATTCCCTGGGACTGATGCTCGGAGAGGAGGACAAGTGGTGTTAGAAATACCAGAGAGAGTTTCTCATTAGTGATAGCTTGAATTGGAATACTATGGGGTGAGAGTTCAGCCAGGAGCCTTTATTTCAGAGATGCTTCATTTTCACTTTGCTTTAACAACTGTCTCTTTGCCATGTAGGTCAATGAAGTCCTTATTTCAAGAAGCAAGGAGTCTAATGCTGCAGGGGAAGCCAACACTAGGACTGTAAGGAAGCCTAAGGAGGCAGCAGTGAAGTCTCAGAAGACTCCTCCCCCAGTACAGAGGAGGAGACGGAAACCAAAGCCAAAACCAGACACAACCAGTAAAGCTCAGAACCAGGAGAACACGTTTCCATGTAAAAAATGTGGCAGGTAAGAGAAACGCATTGACAATGACAATCACAGGAATGTTGTACAAAAGGAACATTAGCTTGAAAAGCAGTTTTTGTGGAGATATTATACAATAAATTGTTGGAAATGCTGGCAATAATATGAACAGTTTACCACCACTGGTGCTGTCTTTCAGATTAGATCTTAAAAACAGTTGCCATAGAAGTTTTCATAATCATAGGCATACTAACCCAAGTACCCTGTACAGATTACAACTTGGATGATTATATTCTGCACCCCCCATGTATTCTTTAATGTTGCTGTGCACTGCTGAACAGCTGTATGGTCCACCTCAGCAGTGTTTACATTTCACTGGTGTGTTGAGAGATTCCTGTATAGTGGAAAAAGCACTTTAAGAACTTTTCAGATGACTAATACTATAGGCATGTAGGGCATTATCGTTACTATAGCAGCAGGTGCCAGGGAAGGGGTGAACAAATGGTTTGATAAAATTTACTCGTCTCTTGTGCGTATCGTAGATGTATTACTTTCCCTCTGTGGCTCCAGCCAAGAAAGTTCAGTTTGCTGCCTAAATTGCTTAATCCCAAAGAATAACTAGCCTCATAATACCAGGAGTTTCTCACCATTTTACATATAGAAGCGGGATGGTGAGGAGATGGGGAGAACCAGAAGGAATGACATCTTTGTCTAATTCAGTGGTGGTGACAGGTTTCCATGGTGTGGCAGTGGCAGGACACCTCTCCACTAGACCATGAAGTAGCACAGCTTTGAGAAGTCACACTGCTGTATTTCTAGCCTGGACGCTCACAGGGCAGAAGCAGGAGGAAAATCTTAATGACGTTCAAGTCTATTTGGTGCAACTAAAATTGAGAAATGTATTCCGCGGGGGAAGAGGATAGAGAGGGAATGGAAACCACAAAGGGCAAAAGCCAAAACCCTTTGACCCTGGGGGAAGAAGTGCAAAAAGAGGGCACTGGTCATCGTTTGCTTGCTTATTTATTTGTTTTACAATAGTGCCTAAAAAATTGGGGGCCTTTATTGCACAGATCCATAGTGAGAGATTGAGCCTGCCTCCAAGAGCTTAGAATCTAAATGGACATGAAAGATAAAGGATGGGAGGGAAAACCAAGGCCTAGAGAGGTGAAATGACTGCTCCAAGGTCATGCAGCACATTATTGTCTGCCAAAAACAGAGCCTAGGTCTCCTGAGTCCTAAGTTAGTGCCCCATCTACTGCACCACACGGCTGCGTATGGAATGGGAGTGAGAGCAGTCGTAGCTGCAGTAGTCCCATCTTGGTGGTGGTACAGGGTCCTCCTCTGTCGTCTGTTGACTTCAAACCAGAGATGCAGCCGCCCCTTTGGCAAGGACGGGAAGAGGAGGTATGGAGAGACTGAACAGACAGGTTCACGTATGTGTTCTTCCTCAGGATCTTCTCCAAGGTAAAAAGCCGCAGCGCTCACATGAAGAGCCACGCGGAACAGGAGAAGAAGGCGGCAGCACTGAAACAGCGAGAGAAGGAGGCGGCGGCCGCGGCAGCCGCAGCAGCAGCGCAGCGGGAGGAGAGCAGCGACATGGGGAGCAGCAGCAGCGACAGCAGCGACAGTAGCAGCTCGGATGAGGATGGGGAGATTTAGCCATAGCCCAGGGGAAGTCGAGGGAGCAGCAAGGCTGGACCCCGCCTCTCTCTCGGTGTGTTTGCCTCCATTCCTGCACTTTCCTTATCTGGGCTGAGTTCTACTAGGCTTCTGTCCATTGCTGCCATTTCCTCACCCCACATTCTGCATCTCACCCTGCCAGTATAGACTGAGCCAAATCAGTGGATAAAGAGATTTGTGTGAACCTGGATATTCTTTTTTACAAACCAGATTTCTATTTTATTTATAAAGGCACCTGAGGTACGTAATAGAACAATGTCATCAGGAGCGGAATTTAGTTCTCCTGCAGATCAGTCAGGGCTTTTTCCTTGTGCTTGCCAAGACTCATGGCAATGAGACTCTTGAGTGTAAAGGCTTCCAGATCTGAGCAAGAAAAAGATGCTCTGCCCTGAGACTGTCTGCATCTAGTTACTGTGACACCAGTGTTTTGTAATGATTTCTTTCCATAGCAGATTCCTGTCAATGCCCTTCCTGCTTTCCTCCCTGTGCGCTATCCAGGCTCTTAACAAGTTCTGTGGAAATATGAGACATACTCTGGGTATGACTGAAGTGTGAGGGAGAGGGGTGAAGAACACTCAGCCCACCCCTCTCCTCTGAGAGGAGATTTCTATTTTTCTGTAGCAAGGGGATGCCTGATATTTCCTGTGCCATTAAGAGTTCAGTAGTGGACATATATCCTCCCTTGCAATAAGAGTAGCCACAAACCTTAAAGATCTGGCTATATTGTGTACAGGAAGCGAAGTAGTTATTGGGTCACTTTTAGAAGAATTTGCCCCCTCACAAGTACAATTTGAAAGGCCTCTAACGATCACATCTGGCTTTAACTCATTACAAAAGGGAGCAAGGTGGTTAATGAGACTTGACCCAAGACACCGTTTTTGGACTGTGCACGCCTCACAGAGATGGGAAGGGTGGACTCTGGTCTCTTCCTCAGGCTTCTTTACTCCCTTCCCCAAATGGCCATTATGCAGGGGGATGCCTGTTTCCCTATTGGCCTTTACCAATCCCTTTAAATGGCCACCTACAAGAGTTACACTGAAGAAGCTGTGTGTCCTTCCATTCATTCCTTTGATGTGATTGGACAGCACAGAATAATTGGCTATCCCATCATGGCCCCCTTACCAGTAAAATGTACTCTTCATGCAAAGCTGGCATTGAAATCGCTCCATTAGCCAAAAGTCCAGGCAACTAGGCCTGGTATTAAAGCAAAGTGTTAAAAGAAAGCAAAAATCGGTCAGCTGAATGCTAAAATTACACAGAATCTGTCTGTACATATATACATATTGTTCACATACCTTTATTTCATAAAACTGTAAAGAATCCAGTGTAGTTGCAGCTGTGTTGGTCCCAGGATATTAGACAAGGTGGGTGAGGTTCTATCTTGTATTGGACCAGCTTCTGTTGGTGGGAGAGACAAGCTTTCAAGCAGGGCTGCAAGTAGAGCTGTACCCTCCAGTATGTAGTACCGGCAAGAGATTTTTAGTGGGTATGGGGTACCGGAAAGACTTGGGACTACTTTCCCCTCCTGGGGGGGGGAGAAGCTGCACTCTGCTCCTTAAAGAAGCAGAACGCAGCTAGGGAGGACATTCATTCTTTATATGGCTTTAACAGCACAATACATATGCTAACAAACTTAAACAAAGCCTTTGTTTAAGTTTGTTAGTTAATGTATTGTGCTGTTACGTTGGTCAGGAGTCCTCAAGAGAGGAGGGGTGGGGGGACAAAAGGTGTTTAAACAGTGTTTTTGATTCTGTTTCTCCCCATTGGTCTAAATTATCCATGACATCCATACTGCATCACAACAAGTCCAAATCATTAGAGTGATTGTTTGGATTCTAATGTCAGCCTAGTTCTGTAGCCTGATGGGAATCAGATGTTGTCCCCAGTGTACCTAGAATTCTTCTTTGTAGCCAAACTAGTCTAGCATACATTTTGTTAATTGGAACTGGAGCAGCAAAACAAAGAAAACAAATGCCTCATTTTCTAGCTTTGTGGGTGATAGAACTATAAGTGAAGATTATAATGCTGGACATTGACAGCCTTAAACCAGTCAGCTGCCTCTGGAGTCTGCCAAAAACTTTGCTGAAAATATGTTCCTCCTCTTAGCAACGGAGCTAAGACTTGTCACACATTTGCCCACCGTTATTCGAATGAAGTTCCTTCTGATCTGGCAGCTCAGGCATTTTCAGTTTCATCCAGAAGAATTTACAAACTTGGAACCTAATCCTGTAAACCCTTAATCATTTCATCAGCCCCACTGAAGACAATGGGACTATTTGCATGACTATGGACCTCTTTTGTGGGCTGATAAAAGTTTCAGGAGTCTGTTCTTTTAAAGGAAGTTGAATCCCCCATTGAAATGCAATGTTTGGGTACCATAAAGCAGTTAAATTTTGTCTTTTAATAAGCCATACATAGGCTGAAATGGCTCCTCACCCAACTCCCGTACAGACTGAATACTACATATTTGGTGGGAAAGTGAGTAGTTAAGCTGTTGATGTTTGTATATACAAAGTGGGGTGACGGGGGGGGGGCGGGGAGCGGGGAGGAGTCACTTGGGGAGATCATGTGCCTCCCCTTGTGTCCCTCCCATGAATGCAGTGCTGGCAAGAAATGATTTCTACTTGCACCACTGCTTTTCAGCCATACAGAGCTCTTCTTTTTCTGAAGAGCTCTGTGTGGGTCAAAAGCTTGTCTCGCTAACAGAATTTGGTCCAATGCAAGATGGTACCTCACCCACCTTGTCTCTGTAAAGAATCCAGTTGTTTCCTTGTGCTGTATCCATTGCGCAAGAGTGTTAATTGGCTCCTTTCGTGGCCTCTGCCTTATAAGTATAGGGTGAAGAAATGGGGAGATTGGCAGGAGCCAGTGAAAATAACTGAAGAGGCAAATGGGATTTAGTGGCAACAACACTCTCTGCAGTGAAGCATCCGTAGTACTGTAGAGCATTTGTACATGCAGGCAGCCAATTCTCACTCCCACCTCTGGAGGAACATCATGTGCTGATATTTATGTGGCACTTAACTGCATGAGCAAAGAGCCATAGTAATAAAATGTTTAAATGTGGCAGGGAATTGCCAGTTTTCTGGTGCCAGTGAAATGCACATCAGATCGACCTGCAGTTCTGTAGTGGCATCTGGTGGTCAGATAAGTTAATTGCCTGTGCATTCCTGAGCGGTGCTGTTTAGCTAGTTCCAGCTAATGGCAGCAGGCTGTCCGTGATCTGGCTGACTTGCAATAGGCTCTCCAAGCTGCCGGATAAGTTTCAGGTAAGCATGCCTTTGTGCTTGTTCATGCCTTTGTGCTTGTTCAACTACAATCTAATATAGGTCAGATTCCAGCCTGTCACCTGCCTGGCCTGGCTCTTTTGCCCCATGGCACCAGAGCTTCCTCCACAGACCTTGGGACCATCTCCTTTTTTGGCAGCTACAATTGTTTCACTGCCTAATTAAGTCCTCAAGCCATATATTTGGTACCCTACTCTTTAAGCTGTTCATCTCTGCACAGCTCCTTTTCTTTAGTTAGGAAGGATTCTTCTTTATAATAAAAATAAAATATTGTTAATTGGCTACTATTTTTTTTTTAATGTTAATCATTTTAACTTACAAGAAATGCCCCTCTCCTTTCACCAGCATATTTAGCTTCTGTAACTAGCCTGGGCTCATGCCAGTTTGGGAATCAGAAAGCCAGCTTCCAGTCCAGAATCCAGATCTCCGTTTGCAATCATATAAAATCCATTTGTCACCGTGTGAACTGGTCGGGACTGGAATGTGGAAGCAGATGGCCTGTCACCTGCTATTAATTATTCATTAGCAAACTGCAGAGAATCAAAAGCAAATAATTTTCACAAGAAAAGTTCAAGCAGCAAATCTTAAGAATTTAAATATTAATAAAGATTATTTTCATTTTAAAATTGCATGTTCTTCGCTATTCCAGCAGTGCTGTAAATAACTGAATATTTGGAGTGCTCCTGTCAAGGGGAGTAAAAAGTCAAAGTAACTGTGTATTATGTTCTACTCTAAAGAAGTCACTTCTGAATTCTTCACATCTGCTAATGATCCATTTTCAGAGTTGGACATAAAATCAAGTAAAAGGTTACAATGCAGTTAAGCCTTAAAATGGCAGTTCTTTCCAGAAGATTGGAAAGTCACTAATAAGTGTCAGACCCTGGGAATTATAGAGTAATGCAGCAGTTTAAAAAGCAAATAGGATGATTTAGGTGCATTTTAAAAGGGATTGAAAATAATGCAGAACATATTATACCATCATATTGAACACCTGGAATACTCTGTCCTGTTATAAAGTGGAGATCAAAAAGGCCCAGAAATAAGCAACAAAGATAAGTGAAGATACACCTGGACTTATATGGGCTGAGATAGTGAGCAGTCACTAGGATCATTGTGTTGGAGAGGAGGCTTGACTGCGGTATTCAAAATTATAAGGGGAAACTTAACAGTCTCTCTCCTTTATTCCATAATAATGGAACAAGGGGGAGTCCCTTAAATTCAAGGGCAGTGCAGTTAGAACAAATAACAAAGAAATACTACAGCATGTAGCCACTCTGGAAATCATGACATCAGATACCTTGGGAGGATTTCAGAAAGGGCTATATAAGATCAAAACCTCTAGAATTCTCAGGTAGGAAAACTAAGATACGGCTAATTAAATTGTATGGGTCAGAAAATAAAGGTTCTTTTGCTTTCCCAATGAGAACAGTGCAGAGTTAGCTAGCTGAGTGGTTCTTTACCTTCCCCTGAAGCTAGGTAAAGATGCCAAACTAAATGGATTGTGAATCTGCTCTGCTGCGGAAAATCCTCCATATAGGACAGGGATTCTGGGACACACCATTTAATGTGCCCCCAAAATGCCTGTTCTCCCTTTCTGAACAGAAGTTAAATACAGTTCTTTGTCTCTTACTCTCCTTTCCTGATTATGCACTGAGTAAAATGATTTAGTATTTTTAAAGTGCTCCCAAAGTGTGCTTGATGCTTTAAAGAACAAATAAAGTCTAGTCACTGCCACGAAGAACCTACAGTCTAGTTGTAGCTATATACATGGCAAATGGTGATCGCGGTCAGTCAGGAGGGGAAGGGGTGAGGAAGTACAGGGTGAAACAACAAGATCATGCAATTGCTCTATGCATTGACTTAGTCTTCCTTATGGGATTGATAGCAAGTTCTTGCACTGATACTGTCTACTTCTAGGAGCCAGTAGACTAGCTCCTTTCTTAGATCTCCTTTACCTCTTATCCCAGGGGACATCCATCTAGACATGGGTGCTGATTGATTTTGCTCTGTAGAAAGGGTTGTTTTGTTTGTTTTAAAAATGCGCAAAATTAGTGGATGTATTAGATATTAATGAATCAAGCATTGGTTGTTTTTTCATCCATGCAGATTTCTTCTCTCCTAATCTTTTGCAGCTTGACAGTCTGTTCTAATTCAGTATGTGTGGCGGTGGAATAGGTAGAATTAGCACATTTGGTGGGGGTTGCTTAACAGAGAGGACCTTTTCTATGGGAACAAATGCAATGTTTAAACAAAATCCCCTTGCAGATTGCAATTCTGCATGTGCAAACATAGTGTACTAGCCTTTTCACTGTTGGAGGTCAAGTGAGGATGTAAACCTACTTGCCTTTTGGCCATATTTTAAACATTACACATTTGAATCTACCAGACACTGGATGCCATTGAGATGTACTGACAGGGTGCGTGTGGGAAATCTCTCTTGCCTTCCTGTACTATTCCTGGCTTTATAAGCACTCAGTATTACACCTGCTGTCTGGTGTGATCTGCATAGGGACAGCATTTCAGTTTTGTAGCAGTTGTGTTTGTTTCTATACCTGTAGTTATATAAGGAGATGCAAATCTACTGTCGCTCTGGTATGTGGCAATGTAGCTGCAATTCCACATTTTTATTTATTCAGCACAGTTATTTCAGGCTGGACTGAACAGGTAAAACTGATCTGAGAGAACTTAGCTCTGAGGTAAATGTATCTCAAGTCTACCAAGATGCTACAAAATAATAACAATCAAAAAAGCCTACAATGGCATATAGTGTTTTGAATGGCTATGCAGGGGTAAATATGTTTACTAGCATGGCATTTTGATAGCTAGAGACTAGTAGAAATACAGCTATTTGACAGCAGGTAAAGGGTAGCTTTGAAATCTGAACCTAAAGTCTCTGTTAAAAATATCTATTCATCCCTATGATGATGATGAAATGTGAAATTAAAGTTAGCTAACCAGATTTCTGGGTGGCTGATCGTTATTTATTGACTTTAAGAATTTAATTGGATGAAGCTTTTAGTTATAGTACGCTAAGATTAAGAATAAAATGGCTGACACGCAAAAACAAGTGTTTCCTAAGCCAAACAGAATGCACCTTTTTACAAATGTCTCTGCCTGTTACCTGGTGTACCCATTCTACCAGTCACCGATCTAGAAAATCATGATGATATAAAAGTCTCCTGCTTTTAAAAAGTTGTGGAGATTTCATCCATAAAGATCTTAGTCTCCTTTCAGTATTTGTCTAGAACAGGGGAACCTGATGTTATGACAACGTTCTAGCCCCATGATAGTGTCTTCTAAGCAAAGTTCTATAATTTACTGATTAATCCTGTCAGTTAAAAGCTAGAACATTTTCCCATGCACTCTTTTCCTAACATGCCCACACAAACTGTAGTCTCCTGTATTATCTTCCAGTGTACACTTTTGAAGTTTAATTAAGTTTCCCAGAGAATAGGAAGCAGTGTCTATATTGCCAGCTTTGTTTTGCGTGAGTAGTGTGGTTTTTTTTTGTAAATTTTCCATTTGGGTTCAGCTGCTTCATTCACCCGCATTCTTTCCAGTGTCAGTTGTTGGGAGAAATACAAAATTGTAATCCCCAGCTGTCCAAAAAAAAGTAAAAATCAAAATAAAAATTCTTTCTGGAACAGGGGATTCCATCAACAGCTGAGCCTGGAAAATCCCAGCTCCTTAAGTTTGGGAGAAGGCATATATTTTTATAAAATGTAATTGCATATTTTTAAAAACCTCTTTCCATGTTCTCCAGCTTCTCAAAGTGTATTATTTTTCCCTTGTAGCTTAGATTTGATACAAATAGGGGTTTTTTTGTGCATTTTACCTTTTTTGTTCTGTTTTACATTTGGTGATGTACTGTACAGGAACAGTCTCAGCCTTTGTAATTACTGTATAAATGCTTTATTATAAAAAGTATATTACTTTTATTTTAACAAATGAGCAGACACTGTCTTTTTGTGTGTTTGCTGCTTAGGGCACCTTTTAAAAAGACTGTTACATATTAAAATAGTGTACATATCTATATAAAATATTTACCTTTTTTTTGCTGTACAGTTGTGATAGACCAGACTGAATTTATTTTTTGTGCTCTTTTTATAAAATATTAATACACTAAAGGAAATCTTGCTGATGTGATTGTAATGTACCCATGTAACTTATTTACTTAATGTCCCTCTGTATCTTTTAAAACCTTTTATTAAATAAGGTTTAAAAATAAGTTTTATAGATGACGTTTCTGTTGTTTTGGTTGAGTATTTTAAGATAGAAGGTGGAAAGGGCTGTATCTCAGTTGTTATGGTGTCTTAAGCATCCTTAAATGTGGTCCATGTAACACAAAGACAACAGTTCTGGTTCATGTTACCAGTCTCCTTTGCCTTGTATGATCAGTGACCCAAAAATGCACATTAGCTCTTGCCAGTCCCAGTCACCCCAAGGAATCCTCAAGAGCTTGTCTCCATTTTTCTCTATACACGTTTTTCCCAAGACAATACATTGACCTGGAGCAACTTCATCACATCCAGGAAAGCAATTAACAGTGAGAATTTTGTCTACAGTACTGCTCCTGAAGCTGCCGGAAGGGTTGCAGTAAAGCAATTCAAAATTCTGTTCTTCAGGACAGACTAAACATCCTCCAAGCATGGGAGAGAAGGACCAAATCCGTTTCAGATTCAGATTCTCTGTCTGGTTAACACAGCACTGGTCCTAGGAGCTTGCTGTTCTTTCCCACCCTTTTCAAAGATGCCAGTTCTGGTATTCTAAATTATAGGCTTTCAGTTTATGTATGCAAAGTAGAAAGCCTAGTGCAGTTACAGAAGCCCATGAAAAGTGGTTCCAGGTCAACTCCCAAGATGTAAATAAGTGATAGGATTCTACTTCCGGCATTACAAGCACCTAAAACCACAGCTACGTGCCAAGTGCTAGGGGAGACAAAATGGTGGTGGCTTGACTCCATTTCAGTGACAGGTGCAATCCAGGAAAGATCAGTAAATTGGTAGCATCGGAAAAAACATGCTAGAATAACTTGAGCTAACAGAAACACATCTCCCATGTTTGATGCTTGAGTTATTACAGCTGCAAACTACATATTGACCCATAATTTGTTTGTTTACATTAATGTCAGGTTTGGGGTTTTTTTTGTATTTTTTAACTTTTCCATTTTGGCAAATAACCACTTGGAAATAAACACGTGATCTTTTATCCGGAAATTACATCATTATGTCTCTTTGAAGGACTTTGATCTTGTTTACTTGATGAAGCAGCACAGCTTTGCTTGTAGCTGGTTTCATCTTAGCTGTGATGCCTCATAAATATAATAATTCCTGTGACTTAAAAAAAAAGTCTTTAGTTACTGTAGTTAGTTAGGGATTTATATAATGCTCATTGTAATTGCATCTAAGTGCCTGGATTCAATTTAAAATCAACAGTCACCAAAACAGGTGCATCTTTAAAATGTTATACAGTCAGTGTCTTGCTGGCATGCTAATAAATAAATAAACTGAGTAAACAAGGGTGCCTCACACAGTTACACTTAAATTACTTTCCCCTGTGGCTTGTATAGTAAATGTGTAGCTACCTAAAACCTTTTTTCCATGGCAGATGGCCAAGCTGGGTTAGAAGAAAGTTTATCTACAACATAGCTTAGACACGGCTCTACAGCTGCAATGTAGATGGGGTCTAAATGAGGCAAGCTTCTAATCCAAGGCAGCGGTTAAAGAAGCACCCGTGATATTTTGTTTAACTGTTGTTTTACAGGGAGCAGAATTGCTATTGATCCCAAAACAAAGTGCTTACTTAAACAGTGTGGCTTTTAAAACAATATAGTCAAAGTCTGAGGGACATTTGTCAAAATTAGACCTACATTAGAATGGGTCCAGTGTCGGCCTTGAAAAGTAGACTGTGTAGCCCTGAAATGTTTAAACCATGCAGATTTTTTTATTTAGCTAAGTTTGGACCATTACAAAGGGTCATAAAGATCAAATTTTGAAGTCTCAAAATGGGACCCACTTCCTTTAGGAAAAGGAAGCAACTGGTTAAATCAACCATTCCCACTCTCTTTTCCCCACCTAATTTGTGTATTTTTCCATACTTAGGCTGGTTACTAATGCCAGGGCCGTGCTTAAAAAATATTGTCAATCCAGTAATGTTGGGTAGTGACATTTTTATACCATCAACACCCAGAGTTTAGGAGGTGTTATACTGGCAAAAACATGTTTTTGCTAGTAGACCTTAGTTCATTCAGGGAACTGGTATAAGCTGTGTCCTCAGTAGGACAATTTATTGCCATAGCTATCCTAGCAAACCTTTTCTAATGTAGACAAGACCTTAGAAGGAAATTTGAGGTAATGGAGGAGTATGAAGTTTGGCTTTGCAAGAGCCAGTAAGGCAGTATAAACTTAAAGAAATAAACCAAGGCTCCGTACGCTTTACAGACCATTTTACAATCTTTTCAGAATATTAAACAGGATTTTTCTGTGAGAGGGGAAGTGGTGATGGGTTAGTGGGATTGGGCCAAAGTCACATTTTCTATTACAAAAGGTAAAGGGATAAGGAGGATTAAGAGTAAGACCATTTCACTAAAGCCTTATGCTGTAAAGTTAAGACAGGGATGTGAGCAAAAATGGAGGATAAGAGATAAGGTTCTATACATTGTCCTTAAGCCAAACTATTGCTTATCATCACACACAACAGCGAGGCACTTTTTCTTTATAAAATAACATTTATTACTATTTATAAACACAATTCACAAAGTAACATTTAGAATTTAGGCCTAAATAACTTAATACACAGCAAGTTTAACAATTTTGTCATACTACAAAATTACTTGTATATAAAAGGTTACCAACAAACTAGGTGTTAAAACTGCTCTCCCACTTGGAGTTTGTTCTAGAACTGGAGACTTCTCATGTGTCTGCACTGCACCTGGGTGCATGCTTCCCAGTGCAACTAGATAGCGGTGCTATCTTAGCTCACGCTAGCATGCTAAAAATAGCAGTGTGGCTGTGCTGGCATGTACAGCAGCTTGGGCTAGTCACGAGTACCCCTCGTGTAACCTGAGTGAGCCACACATAGACTGAGCACTGCTGGCTTTAAATTCCCTTCTCTCATTCTAGCAACAGTTTTCAGTGTAATCACTGAATGCATTGGCTGCTTGGAGACTGACAATATGTTGGCAAGCACGGAAACACCCATCCATTTACTGACACTCCATTTTAATGTAACAAATTTCTATAAGAAGAAAAGGGGGGAGGTGTGGGGAGAGACCCCACTATGTTTGCAGTGGGGGAGAGCAGGATTCCACATGGCTTGAGAATTTTACATAGGTGCTCCTTTCACCCATGATCAAATCACTAGGTGCTAGGGATCAGAACGGATGTGGTGAGACATGGCAGATCAGAGAGTAAGGAAATCCTTTCAACAACCTGCTCTGCTAGGCCCAGATCCTGAAAGGTACTTAGGCTCCTAACTGATAGGCCCTACTCCTTACGGCTACATATCTGCCGTACTGCAAGTACTTTTCACCAACATCCAGTGCATAATTTTTAAAGTGCAAATCTTCTTTAAAAAAAAAAATCAACCCCCTTCAGTTTATTTTGCAAAAGTAAAGTTTGGTGAGTTGGCTGCTTTTGATTTGTTCATAAGAGTAACCATAATCCATTAGGCAAGGCAAGACTTTAGCTGGGCTTTCCTGCCAACTGTTAGGAAAAAATAACAGATTTTGGTAAGCACTTTTTTAGCTGGCAGTAAAGGAAACCCATTCGGTGCGTTCCTTAGCAAACACTCAAATAAGTCTGACATTTCAGTTCTTGTCTTGTCAGAAAGGATGTTAATCCCCCTCCCGTCCCCACTCTAGCTAAATTACCATTTCACATTTATTACAGGATAAATTTTATGTTACAAAATGTACTTTAATGTCAATGAGATTGGATGCCCAACCCCATCAATGTGAATTTTCATTGTATTCACAAGCAGCAACACAAAAAGGTCAGCACAATTCTACCAATTTCTTAATGGTTGTAAGAGCTGCTCTTGGACTTTGCTGTACAGCTTCTGTTAATGTTTAAGACAGAGGCAGCAGGAATTGCACTTTGTTCTGTAAACATCACCCTGGATTATCCCGCAAATCTTTTCAATGTATCGCTGTTTTGTGCTAATCCCCACTCTTGCACTTTTCTAGTCTGTTCTCAAATGTTGTCGCTGCCTTGGGAAATTCTGCCTGTGTACTTGCACACGATGACAACTCTACATGGAGATAAATCAACCAGCAGGACTGTGGGTAGCATCAGAAAGTGTTTTTCATACATGCCCTTCATCCACAAAAAAGGAAGTTAAGAGGCTACAGCTAATTTAATGCCATTGGTGAATTCTTAACTAAAATGACAAAGCCAAATGGCTACTTCTGTGCCCACTGTTCTGAGGATGGCCATACTTACAGGCTACATGATAGCATATTCTTCTCAAATGTGTATTAGAGCTGTCGTCAACTATTTGGAATTGCTATTTTCCCCTCCTTCCCACCTATTGCCAGAGAATGCACTATTGGTAGAAGGAGAAGGAAAGCAGAGGGCAATAGCATTACATGAATACACCAGTGGCAGCCTTAAAGCTCAGTGTGCCTGAGGGCATATTTCTCTGACAGAGTCACCTTTGCTAGCTGTGCTCTGGTCATGGCTCTGCAGCAAACAACCCAAACTGGACATGCTGTGCAGCGCTCTAAAGGAATTACAGAAACTACAGTTAACCACCTCATACTGCTAGCACTGAAGTTACACATGTGCAAACAGCTTCAGAATGTGTTACTTTAGGAAACCTGGACACCAAGACTTTTGAAGGGAATTCATTTCAGCAACTAGGAGTGAATCAATTTAAAGTAGGTCCCCACTGACTGATGCTTTCCTTAAGAGATTACTTCGAAAATTCTCCTCAGCCCTCCCTAGGAGTTTGTAAAATATGTGAAGAGGACTGTTCCTACTTGGTAATTCTATTTGCTAGCAGTATTTAGAAGTCAGGTTTCATACTCACCCAGGCTTTGCCTCGCAGGGAGAAATGCTAATATTTTAACTATAGTATTCAAGAGCACAAATCTAGTTTACTGTTCTTGTACAAAAGAGTTGACGGCAGCAGAGGCTGAGTATATCATCAATATAAGGTTTAAAAATAATGTGTAAAGCCACCTCCTGTCCAAAGAATTGTTAATTACTAACTCTTAATGAATTTAGTGCTGAAAGGGACCAAAACGACAAGCCTGGTAACAACAGTTAGCTGTCTACAAAGTTCCCAACTTCGCCCATCTCCCAACAGTATTGTCTGTGGCCAGTGCTGTCTTGTCCTGATCACCAGTAAAGACTGCAATCCTAGAAAATTACTATTGAATGGCAAGTGGGCTATAAGATGACCAACAGGACCACTGAAAATAGAGTCAGACTGCATTCAAGACAGCACATCAGGCTGTCTGGGAAAGTTTTATATTAGGTGAAGAATGTCAAAGGTAGAGGACTCTCTGCATCTGTTCCTTAAAAAGGAAGAAAAGACCCTAAAATTAGATTTGAGTCTTACCTGCAATGACTGGGCAAATATGGCATACATTATTCCTGTGGGAATGTAGAGAGTAGCTATAAAGAAGTTAATAGCATTGAATTGCTTTGCCTATAGTCTTCTACTTCACACTGGTCACTTAACAATTGATTGTCAGAGCTGGAATTCGACCAAAGTTAGACTAGGGGAAAGTAATGGTACTGCCTAGCATAACAGGAGCTGACTACTGCTGTTGCCTGGGGCCAACTGCATCATCACTTTCCTATCTTTGACCATGGATTCTAAAAACACAACCACAACTTCAGCTTTAGGAACATAAGACTAATTACGAGTGAGGTTCTGCTTCTCTCCCACACTCATTCTGCTCCTCGTACAGCAGGGGCGGGCAAACTTTTTGGCCTGAGGGCCACATCAGGTTTCCAAAATTGTATGGAGGGCCGGTTAGGGGAGGTTGTGTCTCCCCAAACAGCTAGGCGTGGCCCAGCCCCTGCCTCCTATCTGACCCGCCCTGCTTCTCGCCCCCTGACGACTCCCCTGGGACTCCTGCCCCAGCCAACCTTCCCTGTCCCCTGACAGCCCCCCCTGCTGGGACTGCTGCCCCATCCACCACCCCCTGCTCTCTGTCCCCTGACCACCCCTGGACCCTCCACCCCTGACTGCCCCATCTAACCCCCCCCTCTCATTCCTGACTGCCCCCCTGGGATCCCTGCCCCATCCAACCCCCCTGTTCCCTACCCTCTGACCACCCTGACCCCTAGCCATACCCCCGAACTCCCTTGTCCAGTATCCAACCCCCCCCTGCAACCTTATCGTGCTGCCTGGAGCACCGGTGGCTGGCTGCGCAATAGCCGCACCACCCAGAGCACCGGGTCAGGCCGCGGCTCTGCAACTGTGCTGCCCAGCTGCCCAGAGCGTATTGCCGGTGGCACGCTGAGCCTGCAGGAGAGGGGGAACAGCAGGGGAGGGGCCGGGCAGGAGGGTCCCGTGGATTGGATGTGGCCCGCGAGCCATAGTTTGCCCACCTCTGTCATACAGCAATATGCTCATTGCTGCCATTTTAATTTGATTAAACTGAATTAGTACCAGGAATCGGAAAGTAAACCCAGAACTTTAGCAATCTGAGCTGTTTAGGTCATTTTATCCATTTTCTAGGGGTCCGTGGTGCTTTCTCTAATCATCATTTCATGCATTTCGTTTAAAAAATATTTACTTGTCATATCTGGGGACTTCACTAAGATGTCACCGTGTGGCAAAGCAATTTAGCTCTTTATCAATATTTATTTTCCAGGTCCTACTTCTAATCTCTTCTGTCCTTTCCCCAGCAGCTATCTAAACCTTTTAGTTGGCTGCCTAGGTCTGTGCTTTAGAAACAACAAATGAATACCCTGCAATCAAAGCTTATAAAAGTACCCTCAAGTCCAGGTCTTTTGGACATTTGTTTTTTTCTGAACAGCTCTCAACCTCCTTAGTTTAGTAGTATATTCCAGAGCTGTGAAGAACTACATTAATCACTCAGCTAAAAAGAAAGTCATGCTCAGGCTAGTACCACAAGCTAGCTACTGGCTAGTAAAAGTCTATGTATTCAAATCTAAAGTGCCTAATTTCTTATAACAATGTAAAGAAAAAGCCAATAAGTACTTAAATTCCACCAAAAACTATGCAAAGAGTTTCCATTGCTACATTTAAAAACAAATAAATATATCATGGCCTTCTCAGTAATGAAGTTTTGAGTTCCAGTGCAGTTCAAGATGATTAGTTATAGGTCCACTGCTAACAACAGAAAAGGAGTACTTGTGGCACCTTAGAGACTAACCAATTTATTTGAGCATAAGCTTTCGTGAGCTACAGCTCACTTCATCGGATGCATACTGTGGAAAGTGTAGAAGATCTTTTTATATACACACAAAGCATGAAAAAATACCTCCTCCCACCCCACTCTCCTGCTGGTAATAGCTTATCTAAAGTGACCACTCTCCTTACAATGTGTATGATAATCAAGGTGGGCCATTTCCAGCACAAATCCAGGGTTTAACAAGAACGTCTGGGGGGGGGGGGTGAGAGTGTTGCTCCAACCCCTCAGACAGAGACAAACACCTACAAGATCTCTATCAGGCATTCTTACAACTACAATACCCACCTGCGGAAGTGAAGAAACAGATTGATAGAGCCAGAAGAGTTCCCAGAAGTCTCCTACTACCGGACAGGCCTAACAAAGAAAATAACAGAACGCCACTAGCCATCACCTTCAGCCCCCAACTAAAACCCCTCCAATGCATTATTAAGGATCTACAACCTATCCTGAAGGATGACCCAACACTCTCACAAATCTTGGGAGACAGGCCAGTCCTTGCCTACAGACAGCCCCCCAACCTGAAGCAAATACTCACCAGCAACCACACACCACACAACAGAACCACTAACCCAGGAACCTATCCTTGCAACAAAGCCCGTTGCCAACTGTGCCCATATATCTATTCAGGGGACACCATCACACGGCCTAATCACCTCAGCCACACTATCAGAGGCTCGTTCACCTGCACACCCACCAATGTGATATATGCCATCATGTGCCAGCAATGCCCCTCTGCCATGTACAATGGGCAAACTGGACAGTCTCTACGTAAAAGAATAAATGGACACAAATCAGATGTCAAGAATTATAACATTCATAAACCAGTCGGAGAACACTTCAATCTCTCTGGTCACGCGATTACAGACATGAAAGTTGTGATATTACAACAAAAAAACTTCAAATCCAGACTCCAGCAAGAAACTGTTGAATTGGAATTCATTTGCAAATTTGATACAATTAACTTAGGCTTGAATAGAGACTGGGAGTGGCTAAGTCATTATGCAAGGTAACCTATTTCCCCTTGTTTTTTCCTAACCCCCCCAGACGTTCTTGTTAAACCCTGGATTTGTGCTGGAAATGGCCCACCTTGATTATCACACACATTGTAAGGAGAGTGGTCACTTTAGATAAGCTATTACCAGCAGGAGAGTGGGGTGGAGGAGGTATTTTTTCATGCTTTGTGTGTATATAAAAAGATTTTCTACACTTTCCACAGTATGCATCCGATGAAGTGAGCTGTAGCTCACGAAAGCTCATGCTCAAATAAATTGGTTAGTCTCTAAGGTGCCACAAGTACTCCTTTTCTTTTTGTGAATACAGACTAACACGGCTGTTACTCTGAAACCTGCTAACAACAGGAGATCATTAGACCATTCACTGTCTTTTCTAACATGAGCCCATGACAACTACTGGGCCTACTGAGCTACAGATAACTGGCAGAGCTCATAAGGGCAGAAAAGACAGCCCCACATGTTCTTGAAGTGTTGAGCGGGCAGTGATTCTTCTTCCAGTAGATGCAGATGTGTATTCCACTTCGGTGGATGTGTGCTTAGCATGCTGGACCAGAGACTTCTGCCTAGCCGTACTTGTAGAGGGGCAGTGCATGCGCCTTGTGGCTGTGGCCCCTGCCCTAACTATATGAGGTGGCGCCGCCCCAACCCCCTCAGTTCCCTCTCACGGTCTGTGTTTTTCCCTAAGTCGCACTCGTCCCCAGAAAAACTGCGTCTCCGTACTCTGGATGTCAGGTGATGTCTAGCCTTTTATCTTGACAGGACTACCGGTTCATGCTTCGCCTCGCCTGTTCATGTCACATGCAGCCTTCATGAAGGGGCAAGTGGTCTCTACACAGACCATCTCTAGATGGATAACATCCTGTATCAAGACTGAGTATGAGATAGCTTCGGCTACGCCTCCTCTGTGGATATGGGCTCACTCCAAGAGGGTGCAAGTGATGTCCATAGCGTTCCTCAGTGACATTTCCATAGTGGACATTTGCAGGGCGGCCATGTGGTTGTCCACACATACATTTATGGCCCATTATGCTACTACTATATCTTCCAAAGGGAACAAAGGCCTGGGAAGGGCGGAAGATTTAAAAACAATCCCTACTGCAGTAGACTCCAAGCCCCGCTTCCCAGATTGAGGTGCTTGCTTAGAAATCACCACAGCAGAATCCATGTCTGCATCCACTTGAAGAAAAAGAAATGGTTAATTACTGTAAGTGTGGCTCTTCGAGATGTGATACAGACATGTATTCTACGACCGACCCTCTATTCCCTCTGCGTCAGAGTCTCCTCTCATAGGCTTTTGGTGTGAAGAAACTGAGTGGCGTCAGGGTGGCTCCGCCTCAGATAGCCAGGGGAGGGCCCACAAGACATGAGTGCTGCCTCTCTACAGGTACTGCTAGGCAAAAGGCTCTGCGCGGGGCGTGCACACACATCTGCATCACATCTTGAAGAGCCAGTTACAGTTAGTAACTGTTTCTACCTGTGACAGTATTAAAAAAATAACGAAAAGCCTAGCCTGCAAAGGGTCTGTAAAACAAAACACTGTTGTTCTGGTCTCCATGTTTCAAATGATTAAAGAAAAAAAAAGTTCAGCTGCACAGACCGTTAACAAGAAAACCTGTTCTAGCATAACCGGAAAGACAGATCTACAAGCATCACTAAACAGGATAAAAATCAGTACGTAGTTTTAGTTAAGGTCTCTCGTTAAATTAATCAGACAGACAATCTCACTTTCAATAGTCCTCACAGAAGAGCACGTGAAATGTACAAAGTCAGTATCCCCATGTTTTAGTAATTAACTCTTTGGGTGAGGAAAGGAGAGTATGGAGATGAGTTAGTTAAAAAAAATTACCCAAATATTTTCTTTGAAACAAACATTTATACAAAAGCTTTGTGTGCTGAATTGCTCTGAAGAAACTTAAATAATATAATACCACACAAGAAAGAGTTGTGTTAGTTTTCTCCTTCTTCACCTTCTTCTTGTTTAATAACTGGGACACCTAAAACAGAAAGAGAAAAGGCCTGATAAGAATCACTGATGCAGTATCCACTAATGCTAGTCAACTAGGAGTGCAGAGGAGAAGCAAGAACGAGTTTAAGCTGCCACCAGCAAAAAAGGCTTTTGCTACTGCTTTTTAACTGAAGACAACAAATCAAGCTTCCCATGCATCTGAGTATCTTCCTCCTGTCCTGATTCTAACTATTGGTTCTTCCTTCACTACCCCAAGCTTCAGCTTAAGAGCTCTCTTCTACGCTGTTGCTTCCATTTCTTGAGTAGCAGGGACTACAGTATATTAGAGCATGGCCTACCAATAATGAGTGGTCAGCGTTCTGCCCAACTGGGTCACAGTGTTTGTGCTGAGACACCACAGTGCAACCATCCCAAGAGGAGAGCTGCACACGTTCTTCTTGGAGGTACATGATCTCGTGCTGACAGGGTATGAGGAACACTCATTAACTCTTAAACCTTGGTGTGTGCCATTCTAACAGTGCACTGGTGTCGTTATGTAAACAACAGTTACCCCTTTGATCATACAAATACATGCCTCACACCAGCTTCTCTATTTAGCTGTCTACTCTTCTCACACAGCACCTGTTGCTCCAGCCCATTCTTCATATCAACATTTCTCTCTAGCCATGTCTCAGTGTCCTCTTTCCTCCCACCTCTTCAATAATTCAGGCTCTGACTTCTCATCCTCTGCTCTTGCTCCCTACACTGATACTCTATTCTTCACCCATTTGCCTGCCTCTCCTACTGCTGCTTTCTCCCCACCACTCACCTCCCAGCTGCTACCCACCCTGCCCACTTTTCCCTCGTGCTGTCCACTATTACCCAACCAACCCTCCATCCTTTAGAAGCCATTCAAACAGAGAAGCTCTTTAGATTTGCCTTAAAGGAGAAGTGAGCTGCTTTTTAAATAAATACCAGAAAGATTTATGATCATCAGCCATTAACAAAACATTAAATATGTTTAAAAACAAAACACAATATTTGAAAATCATTTCCCCTTTTATTACCTGCCAGGACAAGAGCTTGGAATTCTGTGTTTCCCCTGAAAGAGCTGATGACATCCCTAGCCCTAGAATCAAGGTAAAGAACATACCGCGTTGCTATGATCTAGGTGTTTTCCCTCTCACCATCTCTTGTGGGAAAACCCAGAATCCTGAACATGGGCGTTAGGAGATAAATCCACTTACATTATTGGGGTCTCATCATTAAGTCAACATGTGAATTCTACAAGAGATTTAAAATCTTAACAGATATTGTCTCTCAAAAAATCAAAACACATTTCAGTTCACCTCTAAGTTATGCTGTTATGAGTACTTTGACTGGATACTAGTTCAACACATCAGAGCAAGACCCTCTCTGAAGCTGTAGTGATGCAAAGTGACAGGTCTAATTTGAAACAGCTTTTGTTGTACATGAAGTCACTATGAAGGCTGAAGCCAATTCAGAGGAGCTCCACAGCACTCACCCTCTTTCAAACACTCGAAAATCCACTCTCAGAAGAAGTTGAGGCTATGGCTGAACAATTTAGCTTGTGCAGAGGTGAACACATAGTGAAGTAAGTGTTGAAAGGAAAAATAAAGAACGCTGCTCATTGAGTTGGTTCCCACCCCTCCTCCAGATCTTACAGTTGTACTTTTGTGGTGCTGAGCCAATACCTGACTGTTCTCATTACACTAAGCAAAAGATCTTGTACAATAAATGCCACCCAGCTGCTGCTTAAAGCTCACCATCTAGTTTTTTCAGCCTGGGCACTCGTTTGGTTGCTTCCTCGACCCAGCTGCTCTGCTGATCGGCAGAGTATTTCTCTTCCAGTGGATTGCCCACAAACACCAGATCCTCCAGGAATGGCAAGTCTGCCAGTCTCACAAACTCTCCTGCAATCACAAAAGATGTTAGAAATAGACTGCGGAACACAAAAAGCACATCTGCACCAAGGCTGCTTTTCAATACCTGCACAGATACAGACAGGATGTTTTAGGTGAGGAAGGATATGGATTTATTGGGTACAAATTGGGTACCAGGCTGAAGAATGCAGATGACAGATGACAAAAGCAATGGGTCAGATAGATTGTTCAAAGAACAAACCCATGACACAGAAGTTGAATAAACAGACTTTCTCAATATTTTTTTAATTCTCTTGTATGAGCAGGCAATCTGAACAGCTTGTTCATCTCTGCAGGCTCCATGCTAAACTTGCCCATTCAGAACCTTAGAAGCCAGTTTCCCCACTTTGACCCAAGCTGTCTCAGCTGATGCACACTCACCATACTCAGTAAAAAATTTCAGAAGAGAACCTAGGGGCCCAGGCTTACCCCAATCTTTCACCGAATTATTGGACATATAGAGAATCTTCAGCTTCTTCATGACATGGATGCCCTTCAGCTTCTCAATTAAGTTGTATGAGATCCACAGCTCCTCTAATGTATCTCCAACTGCCTCCTGGAAAATTATAACACCTCTCAGAAAAGTGAGAGTAAGTCTTCCTATATTTCCCAGATTATCTCTGCTCCCTTTCTCCCCTCCAGATACTATGTCACACAACAAACAGAACCAGATCTTTCAATATTCCTTGTTTTCTTTTAAGCAGGTTCCTAATTCTGGATGACAAAGCTTCAAGGAAAGAAAATCCCAAGTTTTGAAATAAATCTCTCAGCTTGTTTAGAAAAATAAATCAAGACACTAGCAAGATATATTGAACATCTGAGCAGAGCAGAGTTCTACTCAAGGCATATGGAGAGAAAGGAGATATTTTAGCTGCATGTGGAGAGTTCTGTAGTGCTAGATGACTGCAGTTCATCAACCGTTTTAGAGGGTTTAGTATGTAATATAAGGGATTGCATAGTTTCAGACAAGTGCATGCTTATATCTGCAGGTTTCAAATTTCACTTTCTGTCCTCAACAATCCTCCAGCAAGAGGAGAAAGAGAGGTTACTTACCATAACTGTTGTTCCTTCAGAGTCACCTCTGTGCATTCACACCTGTGGGATACAGCAGCCCTGGTGTTGAGTGGAGGAACTGCCTTGAAAAGCCATATCCTGCAAGCAGGAATGCACAGAGGCTCTTGAAGAACAAACTCGTTCCTTTATTTCTTTGGTTTTAATTATACAGACATCTTAGCACAGAGGTAATAAAATTGACCCTGATATGCTTCCTCTTCTCTAGATCTTTGCCTTGTTATCTATATTTCTACCCTTGCCTCTCTGCCACATGCCTTTTATCCCATTGTTCAGCGTGCCAAACACCCCTGTGATAGGTAGAGTCACAATGTGATTTACAGGCAGGCCAATGTGTGCAGTGTTTGACCACGATACCAAAAGCACCTTCTGTCAGGAGATGAGATTCATATAAGCAAAGGGAGCAGAAGTTATAATTCATATAATGCCACTGGAGTTTATGGTGCTTTACACATAGATAGAAAATGCAGACTCTCTACCAATGGATCTTACAATCTAAGGGCCCGCTCTTGTGTGCAGAATCTCATGTTATGGGAAATGTGTGTAGAGGGCCTTACAGGATCATATCACAGGTTAGAAAAACAGCAAAAGCAACAGCAAAGGGGTCTGGGAAAGTTGGCTGATTGAGACAATATAGGTAGCAGATAATGCATATTTAAAATGAAAAATGTTCCTCTTAAGCTTATTGGGGGATTTAAATGTTTTATTTGGTGGATTAGCATTTAAAGTCTGTAAAGAGGGAGGGCATTTTAAGGAGAGATTTCAATGAAGAGAGGGTGGTTGACTAGCACAAGGGAAATGAAAGATTGCTCCACGCATTATCAGCAACATGTAGTAAGTAAGTAAAACAAAATAAATGGTTAGGCACTAAGGTTGAATTATGTGAAGAGAGATGCAAGGGTAGGGAAATCACTCTTCCCCTATGCCTTGATGCAAGAATTACGTAGCACTTCATTGCTCAATTTAATAAATGTAAACTACAAAAAGGGACATACCAGCCCATTCAGATTCTTTATGTTGTTTCTCCCCAATGAAAGAATCCGCAAGTTTTCTGCAATGGAGGGAGAACAGCTTCTTATTAACAAATGACTGGTGCTTAAAATATAAAGAGCGGTTGGAAATCTGACAACATCCTGTATACCACAGACAAGAGAGGTTTGTATTCTGAACAGGCTATATTAAGGAAGAATGACATATCAGAAGCAAACTACATACTGTTCTATATATAGATTGTAATGAATGGGTGGAGTGGATGGCTCAAGTATGGGTATTAGAAAGTCTCATCTGTAGGCTGCCTGTTCACATCCAGTCCAGGTAGGGATTGAACAAAACAGGCTGCCATTCTGGTGTTCTAGTGCTCATGTGCGTGAAGCAAGATTAAATTTTTGGTCCTGATCTTACTTCCCAGGCCAGGAGGGATTGGGACCACTACTAAGGAGGCAGACTCAATTCCTGAATAGGAGGCAATACCTGGTATTTATAGCAACTTGTGTCTGATTAGAAAGAGGTCAACTATTTTGGCCCGTGAGATTCTAGTAGTAATACAGCCACTCTGATGAGATTTATTTTCAAATTGCCTATTCTTGTTCAGTCACAAATTGTTCTTGTGATGTGCCAGAACACCTGAAGCTATCAAAAACAAAGAGTCTTTTTCGTGAAACTTCATTTCCAGCTGTTCTTCCAGATATGCACAAAAACATTCTATAGTGTCTAGTTAGGTTAACCTCTAATCAATGGTTTCCACGGCTAGTTCAAGCCCTTTCTCACGATGTGCATTTGAACTAGGCATTAATTACCTAATGATCTTGTTTTTCTCCTGTTTGCACAATGATGAGAAATACAGTATGTACTATTCAATGACGAGGCAAATGAATATTCCACTCATGTACCAATGGCTGCTGCAGAGAAAGCACAGCAGTTGTTTAGAGTGGTTGGGATGGGCTTTGGGTTGGTCAACAGTGACCTGTCCTGGCCAGCCACACGTGTAAGTAAAGGAAGGTTGTGATGACAGAAGGCCTATATACAGGAGGTGGAAGAAAAGGGGAAATAGATGGGCTTTCATGAAGAAATCCAGGTGCAACTGGAATTCTTAATGAAATCCCAGGATCTGTACAAATCCTGGACATATTACTTTCTGTGAGAAGAATACGATAGGGTGTAATGTCAAAAGGTGGTTAGGTGACGTCTTTGGAAGGGAAAAAGTAAATGCCACTCATAATACAGCAAACCTGAAGCCTATTGGAACCATGTTACCTTGAATTTCCCAAACTCCCCATCCCATGGAAAAAGACTCTAGATCTAGCCAAATTATCCTCATCTTCTCTGAAACCACGATGAAAAACTATGGGTATGTTTTCCAAAAGCACTTAACATTGACCTTTTGAGTATCTGTTCAGTTATTATAAACCTTAAAATATAAAATTGGTGAACTGATGTTACCTGAAATGACGTCCAACTGGGGAAAATATTACTCCTTAAATATTCTTGTACTCAGAAATCCCAAACGTTGCAGGAAGCAAGATTTTCCCCAATGTAATATTGACATTAAGTAAAACACAATTAAATGATTCAACCTGGCCTAAGCCTCATCCCTCAAAGGGAGCTAGGCACCTAAGTCCAGGCTGGAGGGAGGCACCTCCCCACCACTCAGGATGTACAGTCCTGAACTCTCCCATAGAGTTAGGTGCCTCAGCCAGGTTGGCACTTTCTTAAGGAAAATGGAGGCAACAGTGCCTCCCTATAGCCAGTGGCCCATTGGTTAAAGCACTCAACCAGGACGTGGGAAGATGTGGGTTCAAATCCCCATTTTGCCTGATGTGAAATGGGGACTGGAACCAAGGTCTCCCACCTTCCTGGTGAGTCCCCTTTATTTATTTATTTTATTTGGAAGCGGGGTAATGAAAGGTGATATCAGAACAGGATGTCAACAGTTGGCCATGTGTCACAAGCTATGGAACATATCTAATCCAAGCAGTTAGAATATAAGCACCATCAGTCATTGACATATCACTTACTTAGGCCGTTCAGGTTGGCGATTTTTTCAATGCAGTTTGTAGACAGAGACAACTTCCTTTAAAAGCAAGAATAATTAACAGCTTATATTAACAGAGCAACAGGAATCACTGGATCAGAAGAAGGCCCTCTTACAAATAACACTTGTTAGAATGAAATCACATTTTACTCTTCTCTTATTATGTAGTAAACCACTGGATACAAGCACAATCCTGTTCTCAAATCATCCATCTCTGTAAGATTTAAATTTCACTTTTTTGGGATTCCACCACCATTTTTATACCATATGTGTGGCATCCTCCTTTGTGTGCCTGACTCAAACCAAAGACAGGTTACAATATTTCCCAAATTTTTCTTTCTGACGCTACCAATTAGCTCTATTTTGTCCTCCTCCTTCCTCATTCATATGGAGTCAAATGTTTCTCTTGGACATATTTTGGTCAAGAGCAATGCCAGGAGCAGCAGCACTATGAGCTGTCATGGATGCTCTAGGCCTTAATACTAGGATTCCTACTCCTTTGGAGAACCAGGACCTCAGCACAAGTCAGTCATTAAGCTGTTAAGAAGGTAATACTGCAGCAAATGAATTTCGGTACTATTACCATATGAGATTGAATCTCAAGACTTCTATTTCTGAACAGCAGTTCCTAGAGAAAGCCTGAGCATCTGGATGTGGTGGTGTAGACTTTGGCTCACAATTTCACACAAAAAGGTTATGCAGCCACAACAGTTCAGGAGTCTTCAAAGGGACCATATGATTGTCCACGGCCTGATGGACTCCAGACATGGGACAGAAATTATTCACTTCAATGCCATCTACCAGCCATTCAATGGACTGATATTAATGCTGAGTTCGCATTAATGTCTGAGAGAACTAGGTTCTGCCTTCTCAAGTAAGTGGCAATGATATTACTAAGCAGAAGAACAGATCTATGTTTCTGTGGGAGAAAGAAGAGAGCTTAGGAGAAAGGAGCGGTGTTGGACTGAAGAGATATTTTGCTCACAACTAGAGGTAGTAGAGGTAGAGGAGAGAAAACCTAGACTTCAAAAAACCAGAAGTGATGATTAAAAATTGACTGTTTCCAGGTTTGTTTGTTTGTTTAACAGAACTTACTCGCAGTTAACAAGTGTGGACAGAGATGCATCCATCTTCTCTACAGGAGGAATCTGGGCATATAGTTTCACCTCCTTGGCCTCCGATGCCTTCTGGCCATTTTTTTCTTCCTGAAGAAAACAAAGAATGAAAAGGAAGGGCAAAAAATGAGACACTGATTGGAATCTGCAGTTGTTATAAAAATTATTCCTAATCTTCAAGAAAACAGAAGAAAAAGGGTTTAAAATCTTGTTTGTATTTCCTGGTGTTGTGGTTCATCTGAATTACACCTCACTTCCAGCAACCCAGACCCTCACTCAACTGTGTAATTAACAGGGATGAGAACAGACACACACACAAAAACCCTTTAATTTAAAGAAAAAGAAGAGAGAAGACTGGCTTATTTCCAGGATATAAAAATGCTTATCAATGCATGTATTTTTAAAAAAATTTACAGGGAGGATCCCTGGATCAGATTCAGGATTTTAAGTCTCCAGCAAACTCAGTTGTTTCCCTTAGCATCTATTCTTCCTCTCTGCCCTTTACACCTACTCATCTCAGTCTGAATTAGGGGCCAGACACAGCAAAAATATATACCTAACAATAGCGCTAGGTTGTAGAAAACCTACTTCCCACTACATCAGTTTCAGGGGAACTCAGACAAACTGTATTATTGATCTGGGCTCCTCATAGTTCTGAAAAAAGAAAGCTCATGAAGCTTATGCTCAAATAAATTTGTTAGTCTCTAAGGTGCCACAAGTACTCCTTTTCTTTTTGCGAATACAGACTAATATGGCTGCTACTCTGAAACCTGTCATAGTTCTGAGGAATGCATATTTCCAGATCAGTGACAAATCAGCTACCAAAAGGTCTAGGTGTAAGGCACAAAAGTCTCAAATCACAATCTGAAATCAGTAAGTCTCAAAGCATAGATGAAATTGTTAAACAGTAAACTGAAGAACATTCACTTTTGGTGCTAAAAAAAATTAAACAAAAAAAACCCCCAGTGTTAAAGGAATATTCAACTGTGCCCACATATCTATTCAGGGGACACCATCATAGGGCCTAATCACATCAGCCACACTATCAGAGGCTCGTTCACCTGCACATCTACCAATGTGATATATGCCATCATGTGCCAGCAATGCCCCTCTGCCATGTACATTGGGCAAACTGGACAGTCTCTACGTAAAAGAATAAATGGACACAAATCAGATGTCAAGAATTATAACATTCATAAACCAGTCGGAGAACACTTCAATCTCTCTGGTCACTCGATTTCTGACCTCAGAGTGACTATCCTTCAACAAAAAATCTTTGAAAACAGACTCCAATGAGAGACTGCTGAATTGGAATTAATTTGCAAATTGGATACAATTAATTTAGGCTTGAATGGGGACTGGGAGTGGTTGAGTCATTATACTAAGTGAAACTATTTCCCCTTGTTTATTCCTCCCCACCCCCAACTGTTCCTCAGACATTCTTGTTAACTCCTGGAAATGTGCTGGAAATGGCCCACCTTGATTATCACTTCAAAAGGTTTTCTCTCTCCCCACCCCACTCTCCTGCTGGTAATAGCTCATCTTAAGTGATCACTCTCCTTACAATGTATATTTTTTCATGGTCTGTGTGTATATAAAATCTCCTCACTGTACTTTCCACTTTATGTATCCGATGAAGTGAGCTGTAGCTCACGAAACCTTATGCTCAAATAAATTGGTCAGTCTCTAAGGTGCCACAAGTACTCCTTTTCTTTTTGTGAATACAGACTAACACAGCTGCTACTCTGAAACCTGTCATTATTTACAGTGAAGACAAGCACTCAAAAGTTAGGAAATGCCAGATTTATGAATGCTTGTGTAGACTTAATTCTGCTTCCTTCTGCATCCACCTCGTGTATCTCCCAGCATTTGAAATAGCTAACATAGGACAGGTGCTGCCCTGGGGGGAAGGGGGGAAAGGAGAGGAGGGGCCCAGGGTGTGTGTTGCAGAGTGAGCCTGCCCAGCATTCACCCTGCAGCAGTGACTCCTGTCTCATGGGGCTGCCTGGGCTTGGCTCCCTGCTCTTGGTGTTGTGACCTGGTCCCTGGTGCTTGAGGTTGCAGCACCGCTCAGGTTTGGCCTGTCTGACCCACTGTAGATGGAGACAGAGGATCAGATGGCCCAAACCAGAGAGGGGTGCCAAGCCCAGCCAGCCCTATGGGACAGGAGCCATTTCAACCAGGTCTGGGAGTTCGGGGGGGTCAAAGCAGGGCAGTCCCATGCAGTGTTCCCTCTAATTTTTATATCCATGTGCCGAATTAATTTTGTTATGTGCACCCATATGAAGGTGACATGTAGTGGGGGTGGGCCCGAGGGGTTCAGAGTGTGTGTGGAGGGGCTCAGGACTGGGGCAGAGAGTTGGAGTACAGGGGGATGAGGGCTCTGGGTTGAGGTTGAGGGGTTTGAGGTGTGGGAGGGGGCTCAGGACTGGGGCAGAGGGTTGGGGTGCAGGGGTGAGGGCTCCAGCTGGGGGTTAGGGCTCTGGGGCGGGGCCGGGGATGAGGAGTTTGGGTTGGAGGCTGCCCCGGGGCTGGGGCCAGAGGACTCACCCCAGCCCTCTCCCCACCGGCAGCAGCTCTTGGAGAGAGATGCTTCTCCCCGCCAGCAGGAGCTACGGGGCCAGGGGAGAGGCTCCTTTCCCTGAGGCAGCCCTGCATGCCCCAACTTGCTCCCCTCTCCACACCCCTGTGGCTGTGCAGCTGCGCGGTCCTTTATAGCCTGCTGCGCGGCCGCACAGCTTAGAGGGAAATTAGGTCCCATGACACCCAAGACTATTGGGAGGTCTGATCCTGTGCACTGAATAAGGCAGGGGTCTTTGAGAAAACAGTATGTGATCACGTCATTAAAGACTATCTTAAAGCATATGAAGAAGGGGGCTGGATTTAGGCTGGGTAGGCAACCATAAAAAACTGGTATTTCCTAACTTTCAAGTGCTTGACTTTGCAACCAAAGTAATGTTCCTCTAATGTAATTTTTTTCTATGTAATTTCCTAGGGTTTGGTGGTGGTGGTAATGGGGGGGGGTATTAGGGAAAAGGTAAAATCAAGTTTAATTATATGCAACAAGAAGTTATAAATGCCATCAGCATCACGATTTGAATCACAGACCTTCACCACTTGACTTACTGAACTAACTACATACTAGAAGCAGGAGCAGGCATTTATTCCAGAGGAAGAAGGACCACTGGGTCCAAGTACTAGGTCTTGGGGGTAGGTCAAGGGGAGCAGACAGAGGATAGACTAACCCAGCTCTCTCCCACCACTCTCCTCCAGGAGTTGTGGGGAGCTCCAGGTCCATGTAGTGCCCTGAGAGGTTGGAAAGGGATGCTGGGCCATGTGCTAGGGCTGCTGGGTAAGCATGTATGGAGGGGGGAGCCTGGCATGTTTCCTCTCTCATGGGTGCCTCCAGAAAGGTATATTGGCCACTTGGTCCACATGCCAGGTCCTGGGGTGTGAGAAAACCCAGGCTGTCTCTTTTTCCCTCCTTCTACTGCTCTAGCTGGGTCTCTGCTGTTGCTACTATGGTGATGTTAGCCCAGTATCAGAACGTTCATGTGCTTAGCTATTATTTTGACAGTGTCCCTGTTCTGAAGAGTTTATACTGTAAACAAAATAAACTTGCATATAGAAGGAGAAACAGGTTGAAACCAGGAGGGACTCAGTCAGATTCTATCACATCTCCCAAGGACATAGATTGGGAGTAGAGAGAAGAATAGTTAAGAAAAAGGAGTATCCTGAACTGAAAATCCAAACATGGTAACAAAGCTCTACTATCCTACTCTTAGGTTGTGCCTATACACTCCACACCAAGCCCTGAACCTTCTAGAACAACGGTTTTCAAGCGGTGGGTCATGACCCAGTACTGGGTCACGGAATGTAAAGCACTGGGTCACGGTGACTCTGGTCAGCACCGCCAACCAGGCCGTTAAAAGTCCTTTTGGCGGTGCTGCCTGGGTAAGGCAGTCTAGTTCCTACCTGTTCTGACACCATGCTGTGCCCCAGAAGCGGCCAGCAGCAGGTCTGGCTCCTAAGTGAGGGGGCCATGAGGCTCCGCGTGGTGTCCCCGCCCCAAGCACCGGCTCCACACTCCCACTGGCCGGGAACCGGCCAATGGGAGCTAAAGGGGGCGGTGCCTGGGGTGAGAGAAGCGCGGAGCCGCTTGTGAGCCTCCGCCTAGGAGCTGGACCTGCTGCTGGCCGCTTCTGGGGTGCAGCATGGTCTGCGGTGCCAGAACAGGCAGGAAGCCTGCCTTAACCCCCACACTGCGCTGCTGACAGGGAGCTGCCCAAGTTAAACCTACGCTCCAACCCCGTGCCCCAATTCCCTGCCCCAGCCTTGAGCCCCCCCCAACCCAGAGCCCCTTCCTGTACCCCAAACCCCTCATCCCCAGCCCCACCCCAGAGCCCTGACCCCCTCCTGCATCCCAACCCCCTGCTCCAGCCCAGAGCCCCCCCAAACCCTGAAGCCCTCATTACCAGCCCCACTCTTCAGCCCTCACCCCCACACTCCAAACTTCTGCCCCAGCCCTGAGCCCCTCCCACATCCCAAACCCTTCATCCCCAGCTCTGTTGGGTCGCGGGCATCAACAATTTTCTTCAACTGGGTCAGAAAAAAAGTTTGAAAACCACTGTTCTAGAAAGTAAAACAGTATAAATAACTTCTCTAGTATCTGGAAGGAATTGAGCATGTGTGTCACACCCATGATTTCCACATTGAGGTCAGTGCAAAAATTCCCATGGATTTTGGATCAGGTCTCTGGACTATTTTCCATACCATTGTCTGATATCACAACTGTGTGATCTCCAACAAACAGAACTTTCCAGAGGGTTCCTGGCTTAGTGTGAAGGCACTTAGTACATAGGCACATCCCACGAAATGGAGATCTATACTAAGTCTAATAGTAAAAGAATAATATATAATAAACTTGTTGCTCATTTAGACTTTGCAGAGCGGATAGTGCAGTGGATCTGCATGCATGGGGAAAAACACTTATGGATGATACTGATGTAAGTCATCTTTAACCTTTACACTGTTAAAACATTATAAACAGGGAAAACACTTAGTTTTGAATTCAGACTTTTTTTAAAGTTACTTATGGGAGTTTTTGCTTCATGCACTGTTCAGATAAAATCTTGGCTCAACTATGTCAATGGCAAAACTCCAATTGACTTAAATGGGGCCAGGATTTCATCCTTGATTATTTTGTGCTAGGGATAAATTCTAATTAGGTGATCAAAATTGAACAGAGTATAATTAGACAGAGAAAATCAAAAGACATACTGCAGAGAAAAACCTCTTTGTAGTATCAGATCTTCTGTCAATGTACAATCTGGCAGTGTTAGGCCAGATACTAAAATACAGTTTTCATGGTCAGGACAATTTAATAGGAATAGCACACATGGGTTCATATGAAATTGATTTCAGTGAGACACTAATAAAATAATGTTGTTTCATGAAGCTTCTTTTAGTGGCAGATGTTTCAAGGAAATTACCTTTTCTACATTATTGTAATGAATTTATCAAACTGGATGAAACCATCCTATTTACAACTGAGATCCAAACCACAGAGTACTACTGAGACAACCACAGATACTTCTCTTGTACTTACCCATCTGGCTAGAGCTTCTTTAATAGTTGTTGCTTTTGCCTAAACAAAAATCAAAAGAAGAATCATTATAATTTTGTTTGGCTGAATTGTTCATTGCAGAGCTAGTTTTTTCCCCTTAAGTTCCATGGTCTCTCTTCCTACAACTGATCCTAAGAAGCAGAAATGAAGAACCCCCTTCCAAAAGCTACTTTTAATTTCATTCAGTGAGTCGTTCAATAGCAATTTTAGAAGTGGTGCAGTAAGTTTGAACATACATGCACAATTTCCCCAGGAGACCAAGCACATCATCTTCTTGATCTTGCCTGCTCTCTGTAGGCATGGGTAGTACAGGGCTTGGAATATTGGACCAAGTTCTCTGCATCTCTGGTGAATCTCTACTGAAGCCAAAGGAGTTATATGGTGGTTGGGGTATTGCAGTAAGGTATACCAAGTTTCTGCTGATGAATTTGGCTTAATGCCTTAGCAGATCACACTTATCACAGAGCTTTCCCATGTGGAAATTTGCTAAGCCTTTTTGAAACATACTAAGGAATACTTTGTCCTTTCTGCACAGGGTCAGGTGTAGCCTGTGGGATTTTCTTATTTTATTTTTATTTCTCCATCAACTATCCTATGCTTCTAGGCACCTCAAATTATTGAAAGTCACACTGTGTTCAATTAAAAAAAGAAGTGTGAAAGCTACCATACAATATTCATTTAATGGACTGACCCACAATAACAGCAGAAACTTGGTATACCTGACTGAAATACCCCAACCACCATATTGAGGCCCATTGCAAAACCCCACTAAATCCTCTACCTATTTCTATCCTAATGCCAGTGAAGAAAGGTAGCATGCCCAAAATGTTTAAAAAAATCAAGGCTCTAAAGGACAAAGGAGGGAGAAATGTTTCAGAGTCAAGGATCTCTCAGAGAAAACAACCTGTCAACTGCTTCCTCACTTTAAAAATCAAGAGGACTCCAGCTTGAACACCTCTGCTAATCTTAACTGTACAGTACAGCACAGGGAGAGATTTTCTGGTAGCTGAACAGATCAGAGAACACTAATGTTATGTACTTTATGTCCAATGCTCCACTCAGCAACAGGCATCCCGTTCTCACTAACTTTAGTTTCTGAATGGTCTCATCATGTAACCCCCATGTAGAGCATATTATGCTAATGCAATCTCTATAATAGTATGCTATTATTATGCTCTATAATTATGCTAGTGCAAAGCATCTATAATAGTAGAAAGATTAGATTTTAAGACCCTTGGGTCAAGATCCATCTTTTTGTTCTGTGTTTGTACAGAGCCTTGCACAACAGGGTCCCTGTCATGATTAGGACTCCTAGGCATTATGGTAATACAAATAACTAATAATGATAACAATAACAACAACAACAGCAGCAGCAGCTCTAGATACAAAAGGAAAGTACATGCGCTTTTTCTCAGACTACAGAACATATGCATGGCTAAAACTGCTGAGTGGTCAAAGTGATCCAGAATCTAACAAAATTCCAAACTTGTGAACCTGTGTCTCAACTGGCAGGTATGTTCCTTCATTTGGGGATGCAGATATAAACTTCACCAATTTTTCCAGTTGCTTCCCCAACCCATCACCATCAACACAATCTTATCTAGATTAAGCTACTGCCATCTAGCCTTTATCAATGTCTAATCACCTAAAAGACATTTGGTAATTTGTTCCACCACACTAGCTGAATCAAACACCAAGAGCATCATAGGGCTGAGAATCATTCCTGAATTAAGAACACTGCATCCCTCCCTCACTAACTTTCACAACTCTATCAGTCCCTGTGAAGGACCACAGATGAGCCAACAAAAGTACATGTCTTTTAGATTTTCTGCTCTTTGGGACATGATCTGTCATTTATTATATGCTTGTTCGATGCCTAACACAATGGGCCCAACTTGACTGCAGCATTCAAATGCAACTGCAATAATAAATATTAAATAACTGGTTCAAAGGGAGGTGACAGATATAATAAAATCAGCCTGAACTCTTGATCTGTATCACTCACCATTAAACAAAAAGATGACTAGTACAGTTTCTTTCCCATACTCTAGCCTAAAAGCTGACTGCATTTTAAATTTAAATAATCCATGTGATATAATTTAAATATAGTGACCAGTTTCTTTCCTGACTTCTTCAGATTTGCACCCCTAACCGTCCTGCCTCTCCCACTGCTGACACCTGGCTTGATGCTGATGGTGAGGATGAAAACTAGAAACAGGGAAATAGGTCATCTGGGTAGCACAGATCAGAGATCAGGGTTTCTTGGAGTGGGTTCAAATTCACTCCAGCAAGAATACCAATATGGCCTGCCTTCTTCCTACTGGAAGGCTTCACTGATCCCACGCATGGTGCACCAACTAGCCTTGCTATAAATCTCACATGAACCAGCCCAATACTAGGCTTCCTTCACCTGGGAACTGGCTGCTTTCCCAGAGTGACTCAGGTTAAAGGAGATTAGATTGCTGAAAGGAATGACAAGTAATCAAAATGTTGCTGCTGATTATGCCAAATGATCAAGGGCTGAAAATGTCACCCTTGACAGCTCACATTGATGTTACAGGAACAAGAACAACAACAAATAATCTAAGGAAAAAATAGAAATCTGCACACACAGAGGATTGGTAAAATATAATAGAAAAATATTAAATAATCCATGCTCTGCCCCCTCAATGGAATCATTTCTTACAAGAACATTTACAGAACATTTACAAAAATTCAACACATACAGCAATGTTCCCAGGGGAAAAATAGATAAGTGGGGTTCATCCTCATTTTTATGCATTTTTATGCATTTAATTCTTCTTGGTCATTTCAGTCAAATAAAACCACATGGAATTTCACAGGAAAGGGAGCTGTAATCAGGCTAGTTAAAATAGACTGTGTATTTACTACAGTCTTCAAAACATCTATTAATTCTGCATTTTAATGATGGTGATTCCTGGCACTCAAGCAGCTCCAGGAGGAGGCATAAGATCATTTGCTCCTGCTATTCTGATCTAGCCCTGGAATAATTCTCTTTCCAAGACACAACCTTTTTCTGGTTTATTTGTTTCTTTATAACAACCATTCACAATTGCAGGAAATAACCCCAGGGCCCTAGATAGCAGGCCAGTTTATGTGTTGCCCTGTGGCCCACCATTTATACCTCTCCAGGAGTTGGCTCTGCTACCAAGCAGTTCACTCCACACCAACACCCCTTGCAGCTCCCGTTGTAGGGGCCTGTCAAGGAGAAAGGGGGAACAGCGACAGCAAGTTGCTCTCTGGCTATTCTGGACTGCAAAACACCCTCTAGGATGCTGTTGCAGCTGAGAGCCAGTTAGAACAACCCTGAGGCTGCTCTAACTTATGCTGGGGGCCAGATGGGTTCCTCGCAGGGCTCAGAACATAGGAGGGGCAAAGGCTCCTCCTCTCTGTGTCGAGAAACACGGAGAGTCGGGCCCAACTTTGCCACGTTCAGTGAAATATGCTCCAATGGCCAAGCCAGGCTCCCCAGGCCCCTTTCCCTCCCCTTCCCACAGCCAGGAGGGCCCACTAGGTCCCCCAGCTCCTCCCCCCCCCCCCAACCAGGTCTCCTCAATCCCGCCTTGCTGCCCCCGCCAGCAGAGTCACCTCCTCTCCCCTTCAGTCACCCCAGCCGGCCAGGTCCCGCCTCTCCCCTTACCCCCAGCCCCTCACCGCCCCCTCCCCCAGCTCCCCGCTTCGCCTTTGAACAGACTCACCATTACGGTTGCTACTGTCGCTGATCCGGTTGCTATGGCACGCAAGTCTCCTGCGCATGCTCAGCTGCAGTAAAGGCGAGGAGCCGGGGATCATAGAGACACCACGGCAACTAGACAGTCCCGAGCCCGGAAATCACGTGACCTTTCCCGCCCGCTCCTCGCTTACTCTTCTTCTCGTCCGCTGGGCAGAGCGCCGCTGTGTCGCTGAGCGCAGCGGTGCACTGGAGGACATGGCCGGGGTCTCTGTCTCTCGCGGATTGGGCGCCGCACGCACGGTACGGTCGGTAACCGCGGCTCCGTGTGTGGTGCTACGCCGGGGGCGGGTGGCGCAGCTGGGAGGTGGAGGGGTCTGTGTGTGCAGTGGTGGAGGGGCCGATGGCACGGATGGGGGTTATGAGGGGCAGCGGCATAGCTGGGCGCCGCGAGGGGGGACAACATGGCGTGGGGAGGGGGGTTGTGTGAAGCGGCACAGCTGGGTGGGGGGCTGCAGGAGGGACTGTGGGGGTTCGTGGAGGGCCGCGTGACAGCCGCCCCACCCTGAGGCGGCGGCGGCGCCCCCCCGTCCCGGGGCTGTGCGGGGAGCGGGGAGCGGCGGCACGGCTGGGGGGGCGGTTGTGGGTGTGGGGCAGCACGGTTGTGTTTGTTGGTCGATTGCCGTCTGGTTTAGGATTTGTGAAGGGAGGGGAACTGCTCTGCTGCAGCAGGCGGGGCGGCACGGCTGGGCGTTGGTTTGGGGCTGCATGCCTGCGCTGCTGGGGGCCGGGGGGGGGGGCAGAGCTTTGGGCGGATCGTGCCCTGCTACGCTGACCAGGGAGGGCATTGTGGGACACTTTGTGGGACTCTTTCCCAGTCTGGGCCCAATCCTTTCCCCTGGTACAGTCCATGTTAGTTCCAGCAGACATCTGGGGTGGTAAACAGGGGTCTTCTCATGACTGGCAGCCCCCTTTGGCCTGCTCCACCTCCTTTTATAGCTTTGGCACAAGGTGGGAATCTTTTGTCTGTCCTTGTCCCCACCCTTCCTTCTAAGTGGAAAAGTGCCAGGTTTAAGTTGGATTTCATTATCAGGTGACATGGTCACATGTCAGTGCAAGACTCCTAATCTCCATTCCCCATGGCCTGGCCCACACATACACAGGAAGGTTTTCAAGTAACTAAGGCCATTTACAACTGATTGTTTCTGGAGCATCTTTAATGGCCTCCACCTAATATGTTTACATCAGTGATACAAGTTTATATCTTATTCTCTTAACTACAGATATAGAAATAATACATGCAAGCAAATAGGATGAACACACTTAGTAGATTACAGGCTTTCTAATGACACCATGCAAGGGGTATTTAGCATAAAGCATATTCCAGTTATGTCATTCATAAGCATATTTCCATAAAGCATCTGGAGTGCAACATCACACCCTCCTCCTGAACTTACTGCCAGTTCCGGTTCAGCTGTGGTCATACCCCCATCCAATGTTCTTAAACACTATAATGCTGTACATAGGGGTACTTGCAAAGTTCTGGGTTCCTGATCCCCAGGTGCCTGAAAATGTGCTGGGGTGTAGCATTGCTAATAGAATGCGGATAGCAATATCTGTTAAAGTGTAGGTGTCTTGGTATTTAGCCACCAATGCCATGAGGTGATGTGCCTCAGTTTCCCCTTCCACACAGCAGTGTAGGCCTGTTATGCTTTTTGCTGCTGTGCCAAGCTTCCAGATTGTTTACAGGTATAAGCTGAAAAGCAACATGCTTGTGGGATTGTCTTGTCACCATCCCTAACATGTACAGTTTTTTCTCCAAAAATCAGGCACGTTACACATTTTCACAGGGTTTTTCATTAGCATCAACTCCTCGTCTTAGTCTCCTGCACCTCTCCTCCATGGGTCTGCTGTCCCCTGGCATGATGGGGGTCCCCTATGCTTCCCCCCCCCCCCCGTCTGGGGTTCTGGCAGGGGGTGTCTGCCTTGACACACACATGGCACTAGGCTCCTTGCTGCACTGTGGGGGAGGGGCTGTTCTCTACCCACCCCAGTGCTGTTCCACGATAATCCTGCTGTGTGTGGGGGGATCAATTGCCCCATGCCCAATACCAGGATAGCATCAAGGAGTGGGGAGGCTGGGAGCAGCCTACATCTCTCCTTCCCCCATGATGACATTGAGTAGCACCCTCTCCCAGTCCCTTTCCCACCCCCAGGATTGTGATTCTTTTTTATTTCTTCCCGAGAGGACTGGTGTGGCACAACGCAGATGTAATTTCCCTTCCTCTCCCACCCCACCTCACCCCCATGCTTGCTTTTGGATCCACCATGAGCTTAGGGACTGGACTCTGTTTTACAGGAACGTAATTCAATTCCTACCAACAAGTCAGAATCAGAATTCTGCTTATTCCCCACTTTCAACTCTTGGTTCCACACAGGAACAGCTGTGCCTGAGCCCACTAGGGTACTACAGGACATATGCAAAGGATCTAGAGATGAGATTCTGGCTTCTCTGCCCTGTATTCTTGAGGGTTCAAAAATAAGACTGTTCTGCTCTGCTCTGCAAAACTAGCTACCAAATCTTCCCTCTCTAAAAGAATCTGTTGCTGTTCAGGATCTTTCTGTGCTTCAGTTATGTCCAGAACCAATTCTGGGACCACAGGCAATTGAAACCCAGGAGGGAAGTAGACATTTAAGTCCAGAACCAACTCTGGGACAACTGACAACTCCACATCCAGCATAAGCTGAGAGGCACTTTCTGTCTACTCCACAAACAAAAGACTGGATGGAGACAAACATGCTGCTATTCTCAACAGACAAACAATTTTGGATTTCCTTTCCCTTGTCCCAGCACACTTGGCAGTTCACAGATAACTGCTTGGAGATTGGGGTAGCTCCCTCCATAGGCGAGTCATTACCACTAACAGACACGAGAACATTTCCTTCATGGTCACAACTCTTCACAATGGTAACAGGTAAGGCATACAGATACTCATGTTTCACTAACCTTGCCTTCCCAAACTGCTGATTAGACTCAAGCTACACTTGCGAGTTAGAGCACATTAAAGCAGCCCCGGATGCCCTCACTCACTACGCATCCACACTGGCAAGGCACGTAGAGTGCTCTGACTCGATGGCTAGAGCGCTTCTGGTACTCCACCTCGGTGAGAAGATTAACGCTTGTTGCGCGTTGGCTGAAAAACCTAGGCATCGGTGTGAACGGGGTGTTGCATTACTGTGCTCTGATCAGCCTCTGGAAACGTCCCTTAATCCCCTCTTCCCATTGTTTTGAACTTGCTGGAGGAATGCGGATATGCCCTTTGAAAGCTCTGTTTCTGACATCTGGCATGCTTATCTGCTCTGAGACAAAGCAATCATTACTGTAGAATGCTGGGGGGGGGGTCCTGCTGCTGTCTGAACTTAGAAGACAGCATGCTGACATGCTCTCAGACCCCCCCCCAAAAAAAACCCCACTCTCTCTCCCCGCACATACACACAACACACTCCCTGTCTCACACCACCCCCATTTGAGAAGCACGTTGCATCCAACTTGCATGCTGGGATAGCTACCACAATACACTGCTCTCTGTGGCCACTGCAAGAGCTGCTAATGTGGCTGTCAGTGTGGATAGATTGCAGCACTTTCCCTACTGCGCTTTATGAAGGCTGGTTTAACTCAAAGCGCTCCACATCGAAGTGTAGCCATGCCCAAAGCCATTGGCTCACAAGGCTGCCTAGACTCACCTAAATTTTCTTCCTTATCCCAGCACCCCTGGCTGACTACAGACAAATACTGGGAGAGTGGAAAGGGTTCCTTAACAGGCAAGTTGCCACTCCCAACAGACAAACAATTGGCTACAGTTTCTCCCTCAACAGGTAAACAGCTGTTTACCACAAACAGTGGCTCATCATACTGAGCTACTTTAAGTGAATTGCTTCTATTTTGTTCTGGCTTACTTGCACAAACTTTACTTGTCAGCAATCCACCACCCACAAAAAATCTGCCCTTCCCTTCCTCAATTAGGGCTTTAACCTGACTATTAACTTTAATCTGATCTAAAGAAACATTTTCCTGAGCAATGAGTTCTTCCTGTGCTTCATCTAATTCCACATTCACTTCTGAGATATTAGCTGGACATTCAGAAATTCCTTCTATATAAAAACTGCTTTTCTGCACAGACAAACAGCTATTTCCCACAATCTCAAAGTTAGAGATACTCTCTTCCTTGCCATAGCATAGCTGGTTAAACACAGACAACTGCTTAGTCATACACTCACCCCTCATCCCCCTTCACAAATCTCCCTGTTAGTTAAGATAACACAAGATTCACATTCATACTCGCTTACTGTTAGTATTCCCAAGAGAAGAGTTTGGTTTTATTTTTTAACAAACACATTTAAAGGGGCATTATGAACTTAAAAAAAAAACTTTTTCTGAAAATTGTTTGCCTACTATTTTAACTGATTACAGTTCATATTAATGTAAGGGAGAGTTTAGCGCATTTTCTTTTTGCTACTTCTCCAGTTACTTTACTTTGTTTAAGCTTTTGCATCTCTCTTCTCTATCTCCAAACCAAGGTAACACCGCATCAGGAGCAGCAGCCTGTAATTGTCCCAGGTACTGGGTGAGGGCTTGAGCCACTTTTGTGTTGTATTGCTAAAGGAAAAACCCCTAGATACTGAACCTGGCCCTGGTCGCTGCCGACTCCACCTGGTACAAGGGTTACATACATTTGTGTGTTCTTACATTATTACTTAAAAAAAAATCATGGCATTTGTATAAAAACACTCCCTCTGAAATGGGTTGGGCTTGTTTTGAAATGTAGTGCCACTTTTTTTTCTTGTGAGACTTGGCAATGCTCTCCAGACATGGTCAGTGCATTGTGGGATACTGGGTATTGTCTTTCCAGTTCTCTGCTGTGATCCGTGGTGAGTGTGCAGTGGGTGTCAGAGGGCTGCTATCTGCCCATCCTGACAGGCCCTGTGCACTTTGCTGGGCCCCCTTCAGTCTGACACTTGCAGCTGCTCTGGGGGACAGGCCAGCGACCCCCACCCAGCTTAGCTGACATCGCTACCGCGTCTAGTGGCCAAGATGGCATGCTAGCAGGTACGGCCGTTGGGTTGGCAGCAGTTTCAGGTGCTATGGCTTACAGCGGGTAGAAAGGAGAGAACAAGGTTGTCTGTCCCATAATACATGTGCTGCTCGTGACAGAATGACTCATTTGGTTGACTTCTGGTTTCTTTAGTGGGGGAGACATGCAAGGCTCTACTTCAGCTCTTTTGCTGCAGCAGAATTTGATGGTCTGGTGACATTCCCTCTGCGTGTCATCACTTCAAAGTAAATAGAGTATCCTATTGTCATGCAAGTTACGCTTTCTCTGTAGTGGTTATACTTACAGCACATTTCATGTTTAAAGCTCTTTACAGACATCTAACAGTAAAGGGATATCTTACACTGGCAAGAGTAAAACTCATCTCCATAAAAATCAGCCATTGTAACACAGATGAAGTAGTACAGAAACTAGGGACCTTTGCTTGGATCCCACAGAATCTTCTGAGGCAGAAAGCAAGATGGATTTGTGTAAGTTTGGAAGGAACTGGAAAGTGGAAAATCTCGCAAAAGGGAACAGAACTGTAACTGAGGTAGTGTTATCTTGGTCTGGAGACTGACAAGAGAAATGCAAAAGCTCCAAGAAGTATGAACTGCTTCATTCATCTCTGAAGCCTTGTGGGGGCAAAATTAATGTCACATTTAACTATTTCACTGCTGACCTTTTTAGCAGAAACCTATTTGGTATAGGATCATGAGCAGAGTACCTTCACTGCCTCCTCCCCACAAACCTGTGTTTTAAAAGGAAAAAAAAAATTAGCAACACATTTTAGAAATTTATTGTAAGCTATTCATGAAAACAGGCAAAAGGATAAAATATTGCAAATAAAGTCAGTTCACACAAACTAGCTCCATCATCCCACTTGCAAACGTATATATTGCTATTAATTTGCTGAACAAACTTCCTTTTTGGAACAATGTCATTTATTTGTCATGGACTGCATAACCATCAGCTGAGCTGATATGACACTTTGGGATTGATCTTGCTCCCTTTTGAAGTCAATAGGAATTTGGCCACTCCTGCTTCAGCTCTGCTGAAGTTATACTTATGGCATTATCAGCCTAGTGCAAAGGTTGAACCATAGCCACTCTTGCACAGAACGAATTTCTGAAACAATTCTGCAACACCAGTACTAATTTTACCTTGATCTGGGGATCCCAAAATCTCTGATCATGCATTCATTACTCAGACACTACTTCCACTGAAATTCTTCGAGAGTTTTTTCTGAGTAAAGAATGTAGACTCGGCCTAAAAATAAGACCTTAAATATGTCCACAACCAGGCACTCTGTTTTAAGGCATACTGCATGTTTATAATGGTATTCCATCAGCAGTGTAAATAAGATGCATTTTAGAATTTGAGTTGTTGTTAGTTAATATTTAATTATATAAACAACCAATTTGCTACAGATCATTGTGTGTGTTTTCTTTGGTCATTAGTATCTTCTGAGTGTGAGATGTATTTACACAATCAGATTGCAGTATTAAGTGCTTTTAGGTTTTTTTTCTCTCTCCCTTTTGAAAAATCTGAACCATTTTAAAAAAACAAAGCAGCAGCCAATTTTCTACACAATATTAAATGTTTTAATAAACAGTTTTCCTGCCCATTTTTTGTTTTTAAAATGAAATGTTAAAGGATTTTGCTTTATGAATAAAGTGAGGGCATTTTAAACCACCTGGTTTTGGTTTTTGTTTTACAACTGTTGACATTGCCTTTTGGGTAATTAATGAAAAATGTGATATTTAAAATTAGAGAAATCTAACAATCTACATTCAGAATCTATTTATACATGAACCCAGAAGTTTGATTGGACTTGTACCTCTAACTGGCCCAGTTTGACTAGAATTGCACTGGATTTTAGAAACCTGTCCGAGGAACTTGCAGTAGTGGATCTGCAGAGGTAAGACAACACAATGGAGATTCAGTAGGCAATGCTGAGAGGGCAAAAAAACAGGTTGGCAGGAAGCACTGCCCAACCTAAGGCACTCAGGCATCTGGCTCAAATTGGTGGAGGTACATGTGAGAAGGAGGGTTAGAAAGTGCAAACGGGGAAACTAATGGCCAGCCTCTCCTTCTCTGGTCACAACCTGGAGTAGCTTTGGTGAAGAGGAAGTAACATAGGTGCAGGAAGCACTACTGTGCTTATCAGAGCTAGCTGCAGGCCTGTATTACTGTTATCTATTTTCAGGGAAGGTTTAGGCACCAGAGCCCCCTCCAGGACCCATTCAACCATAACCAACTTGGGAGAGAGTGACATGCCAGTTGTGTAGGTGGTATGGGGGAAGTGAACCCAAGTGAAGTTGTCTGTTGTGGAGTATGGTTGGATGATGTCTGTGGACTGAGCATGAATGAGACTGGCACTGACGATGTGCCCGGAGCACGTTTGATGACATGAAGTTAATGAGCATCAAGCACCAGCATGTTGACCAGGAGTTTCCATAACACTAAATAAAAGTCAAGGTCACAAGCCAAAACTCCATTTCCTCCTGGGCAGCTCTTTTAAGATGCTCTGGCAACAGGAACCCTGGAAAGGGAATTGTGTTCACAGTGGCACTTGGGAACCAGGCTTCCAGCACTATCGCTGTTTCAGAGGACTAGCTGAAGTCTGAAATATTAAAGAAGAAATTGTGATTCCTTTCCCTCAAGATGATGGGAGGGAGCAGGTCTCCTAAGCAGGCAAGAGGGGAGGCACTAGCCTACAATTAATCAGAATGGAAACAATCCCCTGGCAGCTGTGGGCACAGTTGCTCCCTCATTCCTGGACACCTATGGGAGAATTATCCCAGGATTTTTTTCGTTTTTAATTGTCTGATACTTAAGCTGGTCGCTGTTTACGACAGCCATTTAATGTATGACTCTACTGCCTCCTGTTGGCCAGGCTCCCTCCTTCCTTTCAAATCACCCATCTGCTCCTCTGCTCCCTCAATAGTGGCTATCAGTATAAGCCATTCAGTATCCAATGGCTACTGATGGTCACTATCCATTACTAGGCAATTCCAAAAACTCAGTTCCTCACAACCTTCATTTAACTATCATTACTTTAAAAACAGGCAATTAGACTTAACTGCAGGAAGAAAGAAGGAAATATATCAATGCATATAACAAAACTGCATTTAACCAAGCTATCCAGTGGAACTGTAATATACACTAACCAAGTATTAGCTGCCAGCCTGTGACACCACAGATAGAAATGAGTCCCTCTTGAATACCCCACTAGTAAATCACTGCCGGCACTACCCCTCTCATTAGCAGGCATTGAAAACACTTGATCTTTCTTCTCTGCAACTGCCAGTCAGTGTAAGGAACAATTGGCTGTGCTTGCTGAAAGCTGATAACCAACATCAAGATGTCAGACACATGTATGCATCCCAGATAAAGTTCAAATAGAAAGATTTCCAAAGTAGGCACAGCAAACAGTCACAGCTTTAAAATAGAATGCTCTGTGGGGTGGGGGTGGACACTAGTGGAAGACATCTGGGCTGAACTAGCTGGATTCAAGTCCCAAAGAGTGAGCCAAACATGTCCAGCTCACAGGGCATAGCTGTTTCAAAATCTTATCATCTTGGGCTGCCATCATTCCACTAGGTGCAGGCCAGGCTCCTTGACTGCCATTCTCTGCAGGCCTGGCCAGGTTGCTGGGCTCCTTCACATGCTGTAAGCGAGGGGACTTCTACCACCTTCCTTGGGTGATTATTTCCCAGTCTAAAGTGATCTTGGCATCAGGAAACCTTTACTAACATGAACCCTGAAGTTTTCCATTGTTCCATTTCTCCCCAATACTCCTACCTAAAGCCCCTTCCACCACTGTTAACAAATCCTCACCCTCCTCAGTGTTTACACCTGCCACTGAGTTGTCATTTGATCAAGAAATGCATATTTAACTTTTCCATCTTTCTAAGTCAGTCCCTCCAGTCCTCTACTCCCTTGGGTGGCTCATCTCTCAGCTCCCTGCAATTTAGTGGCAGCTTTCAGGTAGTGAGGTGTTCATCCCAAATGAAACCGCAGAAACTCCTGGATCTTCCCCCAGGAGTGTTCCTGTGCATGGGCATGTGCTCTTCTCTCCCCACCACCCAGAACGGGCAACCCTAGGACACGGTCCAGGGCTACTGAGCAAAATGGCAAAAAGGGTGGATCGATTCGGTGGCCTGCTCCTGGATAACTCAAGAGTTTAAAGTTGTCCTTCCCATGTTGGCGCAAGCGTTCAATTGCCATCTTGGCGAATAAAGAGCTCTTCCAATTGCGATCATCTTCTCCTACCACCAAGAGAAAATTACCTTCTGCTTCTTCTATGGGGATGAGGCAGTGGGAATTAGCTGGATCCATTGGGTCATCCAGAGCATCAAAAATATCAAACACACCAGTCTCAGAAATGCTGATCTTGCTCATGTCAAAGTGCAGCCCAGGCAGAGTTAGCTCACCATAGTGAAGAGCAGTGATCGTATTGGAGCTACAGCCAGAGATACAGACAGCAGCTACCACCTGTGGCAGGAAAGTAATCATGGAAAATGCCAATTCTGCCCCTTTCCCTGTCCCAATCACTCCAATCCCTGGCCCTTTCACCTGCAGATGAACAAAGAGAGGGAGAAAGGGAGTGGAGGCAAAGAGAAGCACATGTGTTAATGAGACACTGACATCATATATATTTGGAGTGGATTCTTCCAGGAACATTGTACAAAATTATTTTCCTCTTGGAAAATTACAAATGGGAACTCTTAATGCAGACCAGGATCATAATTATGTTTCCCCTGTTTGTCCGATTTTTCAGAGAACACAAAAGGTGCCAACTCATGTAAAATATTGTGAACTCTTGCACTCTATAGTACAACCATTCAGACCTGGCTAGCAGAAATTGCTATTTCCTAGAGTACCAAGGAAACTAATGTACTATTGTTCCCCCTCCGCCCCCCCGCACATTGCCACCAACACAGAACTGTTGATGAGTCTTCTCTCCAATCCCCACATCCAAAGGAATGTGTCTGCATGAATTTATCTCATTACACTCACTTTTGGGTGACGCTGTAGAAATCTAGCTGCCTCCTCAAAGTATTCGAGGTGCAAATCCTTCATGACCGTGGGCAGATCCTCAAAGTCAAAATAGGGCAGAGAAAGAGCAGCAAAGCCACGGGTTGCTAGGAGACTGGATCTGAACTCCATCAATCCACCTTCATCACCAAACATGTCGATCACTCCTGGAAAGGGGCCGTCCCCTACAAAAATGAGAAAAAGAATAATATTATCAGGCCAAGATATTAGAGGTAATATAGTAAAGAATGAACTGCAACATACAGTAGGCATGATTACTAGAAAACTTATTACATTTTCACTGGCAAGATATTATCAGTACTAGTAATATTTCCCATTACAGCTATATGGAACACCTGCTCAAACAAGTAAACATACTTTTTAACTGCACCCAATATGCTTTCCAAAGGCTTTGCCTTCTCATCCTGAAGAAGCAGATCATACGTTAAACCAATGTGTTGTTGCAGCCAGTCTCATTTTGGCCCAAATCCTCAAAAGTAAAAGGCAATCAATGGAAGTTAGGAGTCTGAATGCCTTTGTGGATCTGGGTCACAATTACTGCACAGTGGTATGTTGCCAGTATGGCAGAGAGTGGATACCTGATGAGTTTGGACTTTGACCTAGGGTTTGAGAATACTGTCCTCTAGGTCTGTGAGAAGCACAAGCAATCTTGTTGTTTTTCTGACTGACCATCAGATGGTATGGCTGATCCATTCAAATCCAGGTAGCTGCAATGATCTGCAATTGGGAGAGGGAAAGGTCTATTCTCATGTGAATGTACCTTAACATTAATAAGAGGTACACATAATGCACTGATGGAAGTCTTGGCGCTTAAGGGATTTTTGGAAATGGAAGCTCTGAGCAAGACTCGTTAGACTACTGAACAGTGAAGCTCCATTGCTTGGAACGGTTAAAATTAGACAAAGCACTGAAAATATATTTCAGAGTGGTAGCCGTGTTAGTCTATATCAGCAAAAACAATGAGGAGTCCTTGTGGCACCTTAGAGACTAATAAATTTAGTTGGGCATAAGCTTTCGTGGGCTAGAACCCACTTTAGCAGATGCATGGAGTGGAAAATACAGGAGCAGGTATAAATACATGAAAAGATGTGTCTCTAAGGTGCCACAAGGACTCCTTGTTGTTTTTGAAAATATATTGTAAGGAAAAATCAGGCAGTGCAAGGGATGGACTAGATCAGCTAGTTCTCTCTTTCATTTCCAACTTCTGTGATTCTAACAGTCCTCATTTTTCCTCAGCAATAAAGTTATTAATGAAAGCAGCAGATTGAAATGGAAATCACTGAACAGTTTCATTGCTGCTACTAACAGCCCTTTTGAGCAGCTGTGAAACAGACAAGTATTATGTAAATTTCACCATGGCACTACTTGAGGAAACCATAAACAGCTAAGGCTCTACAGATGTTTTCCCCCTGAACCTCCCCCCTGTGTTTTATAGTAGCCTCTTGCCAGTAAATTTAGCCTTCTAACAGAAGTCTAATTCATTTTAAGGTCACGTATTCTGTCCAACTCCTCTGGGATTCTCTCAGAGCAAGCCATGGGTAATCACAGAAGCCTTAACAGAAACCTTTTTTTTTTTTTTTTTTGGTGAGTAAGTTTTAGGTGGCTTCTGTCTAACCAAAAGGAACATTATTTTTTTTTGTAGGCTGCATGAGAGGAATGCAGCAGCGTAATGGCAAATTTACATAGCTTCTGGCCCAAAATTACAGGCCAAGATTTTCATAAATGGGAGCCAAAACTGAGGCTTCTGAGGCCTATATAAACGTCCTGACTTTCTGAAACACTGAGCACGAAGCAGCTCTCTGACTCAAACTTCAATTTCACTGTAACTTTAATGGGAGCTTCTGAGTGCTCAGTTCTTTTGAAAGTTAGGCCACTTAAGGAAATGGACCAGAACAGCTATTCCAGCCTAGCTCCCTGTGTGGACACTCTCTATTCCGGAATAAAAGTGTTTTGATTCCAAAATTATTACACTGATTTGGATACACCCTAATTATTCTGGAATAAAGTGACTATTATTCCATAACAGTGCCCACACAGGGAATTCTGTCAGTCAATTTGCCTGTGTAGCCAAGCCCTCATATAGGTACTTAAGTATGGAATTAGGAGCCTAAATTCAGGCATCAGTTTAAAGAAATCCATGGCCAAGATTTTCCATTAAGAAAGCACAGGTTGCAGATGGAATCTGCTTTGGCCCTGATATGTGTCATTAGATTGGGTTGTGTACCAAACTGAATGGAACACAACTTAAAACAAAATATATTTATCTCCAATTTTATTGATAGCAGCAAAGAAACATAGCTCTTCTTCAGTTAAAGAATTGCCAATTTGCCACATACAGACTGCAGAAAATACAGGAGAAAAAAACAAGGATCTTAGGTCCTGATCTTGCTCAGATTGAATTCAATGGCAAAAAAATCATAATTATTTCAATGGGCAAAATTGGTGCTTTAAGGAATTGACAACATTGACAACAGCAGGACAAATTGCAGGAGAGGCAGACCTTTTTATAAAATGTATATCTGACTTCCTTGCTCCATCTGGGTGCAGAAAATGAGGAATCAAAATAGAACAGTAAACCTGTACATTTGGATGCAGTTTTCAGGAGGGCTGGCAAACACTTTGCTTCTGTGAACAACTGTTAAATGCAAGATTTTTTTCTATTCCACAATGGTACTAATGACAAATTTAATAAAAACAGAAGTTAAAGATGAAGTGTGTCTTGTGAAATATAACAGAATATTCCTATTGTAAGTGTGTGTGGGAGGGGGGGAAGATGAAGGATATAGTAAAACAAACATTTTAGATGCATTATGTTTTTTATTATAAATTTTGGAAACTCTTGAAGTTCTGAGTATATGAATAAGATACACCATCTCCACTGCTTGTGACTGAGGCCACTATGTAATTCAAGCAAAGGTACTATCTAGGCTACATATGGTAGCATCAAAAAACAGGAATGTTTAAAGAGACAAATTTAGTTCTAGGTTGCAGACTTGTGGATACCACTAAGTTCAGTGAAAACCTTGTACATGCCTGTAAAGTGGATGTAGCTCTTAGCAAAATATCCTGGCTTCAATAATGGTGAATCAAGAGTGCTGACTAAGGGCCTCCAAAGTCCATTCAGATCAATCTGAGGCTTTCTGCTGACTTCAAGGGACCTTGGATCGCCCTCTAAATTAACCAGAGATCATGATTTAGGCCTCAATCTAGCAAAATACTTCCTTTATAGTATAAAACTCATGAGTAGTTTTGGTTCTGAGATATGAGAGAGAGAGTTGGTATGCATGTATTTGCTATAATCTCTTCAGATGGCCTGCATATTTATATGCATTTAATGAAGAGAAAGTGTCTGATAGGGCACAATCCTACTCCCACTGGAATCCATGGGGGATTTCCCTCTGTTTAGCATGGTAAAAGAATTGGGCCCATAACTATCTCCTGTTAAGAAGAAAATATGACTTCTCACTAATTCAGTCACCCTTCTACAAATTTTGGAAACTCTACCACACTTTACCTTACTTCAGAGTTATGGGGAATCCCAGATGCAGACGGAGTGATGAGCTGATCTATAACAACTGCCTTTCTCTTGCTCTGTTATGCATTAATAAATTGTCATCTTTTGCTTTTACCACTCTCTTATAATAAACCTCTAAGATACACAGCAGGATTATTTATAGTAGTATATACCATGGGTTAGTCCTTTTCATTTTCAGCATTCATCTTATTCTTGTGAACTTTAAAAAAAAAACAAAAGAACTATTGCTGCAATATGTGTGGGAGGACATGGACTATTTTTCAGTCTTGTTTTGTGCAAGCAGAAATCCTGTGTGATTGTGTTCAGATAATAAATTATATTTTGCACTTATATCGTGTCTTCCAATTATTTAAATCCAGCTTTTTGGAATAACCATAAAGGCTTTAGGGCCATTTCTAGAGTATTTATTTTTACACACTGAAAGGGCCCAATCTTATAAACTTCCATTGACAGAAGAAATATGCTTTCATTCTTCTCTATATGCACTAATCAGATGAGACGGTACTGTGCATAACACTTTACACTTATAGGCACCTTCTGTCAGTGGCTTCTGCCAAAGCCCTTTACAGAGGCAAGTGATTGTCACCATCACACCTTACATGTAGGAAAAGGGAAGCCACCGGAGATTTAATGCGTCAGCCCACAAAAGGCAGAGCTTCCCTCACTCACCTGAGGGTAGGAACAGGCTCCCCCTCACGCTGCCCTCTTTCAGCCTAATCCTTCGCACCCCGGGGGCAGTGAACCATCTCTCTACATTGGCCTTGGCGAGGACCTGCCCTGGGATGCTGCCAGGCTGACTGTGCCCTTGGTGAACTGATACCTCCACCTTCATGGGGGTCTTAATCTGCTTCGGCACGAGTCTCTGGTAGGGTCTCTCCATGCCGGCGGGGGAGAGGCTCCAGAACAGCCCCATGGGCTCCACCCCAGTGTAGTCCCCTCCCTGGGCAGTGTCCCTGGACAGGTCCAGCTCCCCGAGGCTGTCCGCCAGGTAGTGGGCGCAGGAGTCGAAGAGGCAGCCCTGCTCGTTCGCCACGAGTCCCCTCAGCGTCACCCGCTGCCCCGGGGCGAGCCCCAGCACCTTGGTCGCCACCGGCTCGTCCGCCAGCCCCGCCGCGGGCTCCACCGCCACGGTCGCTGCCCCCCTGGTGCCAGAGCGCGGCCCCGGGGGGCGGCACTGCCTGGGAGGCCGCAAGCGGGCGGTCCAGGCCCGGGCCACGCGCCACATGGCGGGGTACGGGCAACCCCGCTCGCCGCCCCTCTCCGCTCCCCCAGCCACTGGGCGGCTCGGAGCCGGGCACTACACACCAGCTCGCGCCCCGGCCGGGCCCGGAGACCTCCAAGGCAGCCTCAATCGATCGCAGAGACACAGCGCCGCCTCCGGCCCGCCAGAGAGGCTCTTCCAGGGACGCCGCTCCCTTCTGCCGGCCCGGAAAGCCGCTTCGTGCAGCCGGGAGGCGCGGTCGCGCCCAGCCCCTGGAATGAGGAGAGGGCGGGGGGGAGCCGCAGCCTAGATAACCCGCCGGATGGGGCGGGAAGATCTTTGTGGGGGGGGGGGGGGGTTGAAGAAGAGGGAAGGGGAAAAAAAAGCCCCCAGCCAGGCGCCCAGAGTAGCCCACCTCCTCCACAACTGCTAGGAGCTTAGGGAACAGCGCTTAATTTGTGCCCGGGCTGAGCCCAGGCACCTCTAGGTGCTCTGGTACCTCCAAGCTTGCCATGTCAGCTATTAAAGTAAAAAAATTGCTTGAGGGCCAGCACCTGTTTAATTACAAATTAAGCACTGCTAAGGCAAAACCTTCTTAGGTCATGGCTACACTAGAAGACTATGTTGACCTAAGGTAGGCCAGTATACAGCTGCCGCAGTTATTACATCACTTGTGAGTGTGCACTATTGGCTCGTGTTGGCAGTGCGCGTCCTCACCCGGAGCGCTGAGAAGGAAGCAGTTGAGCTGCTTAGGTTTCTAAGAAAAAGAATATTCCTCTTAGAAGGAACTGACACCTAGAAACGTTCAGCACTGAAATCCAAAAACCCAGTGATCAGCATAGCAGACAATTTAGGATGGAGAAAGGTCTTACCTTACCAATATTTTAAGAACTCAGTTTATATCTGTAAATAACCAAATATATAAGGATGTGAACAAAGCTCAACTTTCATATTGTAGGAAGTGGAAATAGGGCAAAAGGAGGAAATCTAATGTAGGGAGAGGACTTAAGCCATCTTTTCTCTCACTTTCAGCCTATAATCTTTGGCTCCGGTGTCTCATTAAGAGGGAAGACAGGTGTATGAACTTTTAGAAATAGCTGGAGGCTATTATGAAAGATGGTGCTTACATGCACGGTCCAGGGACAGCACCCTAAGGAGAATCCCAGACTTGATATTCCTGATATTTCTAAGATTTAGAAAAAGCAGAAAAAAATCTTGGTTAAGTGTGTAATTGTTTTTAAATGTTTAACTTCTCCATGAACTTTGACTCCAGAGCCATTTGGACATATGCATTCTTTCACCACTGGAGCATTGAACTATTTAGGAACTATTGGACCTTCCTTCTCATACTCATCCAGCACCTTTACTTGGGTCTGCCACAGATTTGGAAGAGCAGCCCTCCAAACTCCACTACAGGTTAAGCCCTTCTCCCAAGTTTTCGGCTGCTCACTCCAAGACATCTGCAACCACTGGAAGATCACTAACAGGTATACCAGTTTGTTCTAGTTCTCTCTGCTTCCACCTACATGCCTTCCACTTCCCCTCAGGGAGTTTCATTTAAACTAGGTTGTTTATTCCTCTCTTTACTTGTTCCACTCTGTCCTGCTTAGAAAATCTCTGAGGGAAAGAGGGCAGACCGAGGCTTAAATATTGCAGCTGATTGACAAAGCTTTGCCTGCTGATTAGTAGACAATATTAATATTTAAGAATGGCGATGGATAGGCTAGAAGAGATTACTACCAACCAGACTGCCTACATTTAAACTTCACATGGTCCATTCTCAGCATATACTTCAAGCTCTCACAGGAGCAAAGCCCATATCCAGCCAGGTCACCTTTAATAGTTTTTCCTGATTTTCAACACATCTCCAAGTTCTGCAGATGATTGGGCCCATTTGAAGACAGTGGTGGTATTTGCAGCCACAGTAATGGGAGTGAATGTGAGACAGGCACCTCAAAAGAAACACTAGGGGTACATACAGCAAAAAACCCCAGTGGCAGCGAGGCTCAGAGCCCGGTTCAACTGACTTAGTTTCACCTATGGGACTAAAAATACCAACATAGACATTCCTGCTTGTGTTGGAGCCCAGGCTCTGAGTCCTCCCCTCATGCCAGGTTTCAAAGCCCAGGCTCCAATCCAAGCCCAAATACCCACACTATTATTTTTAGCCCCATAGCATGAACCCAAGTCAGTTGACCAGAGCTCAGAGACTCACTACTGTCTTGTTGGGTTTTTTTGCTACGTAGATGTACCCTAAGAAGCAAATATGCTCAGGATTCATGCTAACTTGGACTGACACATGTGAGTGAATCTTTTCTCCAGCTCCTTTTTATCTATTTCTATGTACAGGCTTTTTGAGGGAGTGCATCTTGCTTGTGCTGCTTGTTTGTTAAGGGACGATAGGCCCCTCATGTCATTTAATATAACAGCTTACTACACTGAATACAAACTTACATATAAGATGACAATAATAGAGTAGTAAGTCGCAAAGTCAAGCACTCAGAAGTTAGGAAATGAGGCAGAAGTCCAGAAGAAAAAACAGTATGATCATAATCTATGCATGGGCAACACTACTTCTGACATTTTATAACTTCCGAGTGCTCCATCTTGCAGCCTTAATGTTCTTGTAATGTGGTGTTTTTCCTATATAATTTCCGGAGGTTTTTTTTAAAGCAAAGTACTAAAACAAAAAAATCCATCATGTGAAGCCATATTGACCCAAACATAGGTCATCAACAGGATTATAACTTTTAGATCCACCACAGCACAGATCTCTATCACTTGCACTAATTAACTGGTTGCAGTAGTAGGCTATTATCCTGTAGGTGGACCAATCACTAGAGGTGCATGAAACACACTCTTTGTTAATGGGTTTGACAGCTATTTGGTGACAGCAGAGTTTTGTTGGGACTCGGGAATTCTGGACTGTATTCCATGTTCTGGAAATGAGTGTCTCTCTAATGGTTATAGACCCTTCTGCTCCATCTCCCCTGCTTCCATGTCCTCCCACAGACTGTTTGTGTTCTCTTCTCATCCCTCTGCATTTGAGCAACTCAGGCTGCACCTTCCTTTCCCTCTACACAGCCAAAGCCCCAGCAGTGGGGTCCCTGAAATCCAAGGACAGAAACTCCCTGCTCTCTGTTCTGGTGTTTAGTGCTACAGCAGGTAGGAGGAGCAATTTTAGGAAAAGTCCTGCTCAACCCATGCAATCTTGGAATGGATCATGCTCAGTCTGGTCAGCACCAGGAGCTGTATGGGGAAGGAGTGTGCTCATTGCAGATGGAATCTTTAAATATTAATACTGTCAGCCTCTAACAAACCTCTAATGAACATGTGCAAACTTCAATTTCTAGAGGCTTATAATTTAGCTAAATTTGGGCAGATATATACAAATCAACAAGAGTCATATCCCCAATACTAAGGTGATCCACCTGCCAAATTTTGAGTCCCTGCTCCAAACCACTGAGGCACTACAACTTCTGAATAAAGTAGCTGTAATATTTTAACACAGGAAAAACAAAAATTTCACTACTCTTTTTCTTGGAAATGGCTGATTCATTTTAGCTGAAACAAAAAAAACCCAAAAACAAAAAATCAGACTGAGGCAGATGACTGGCACAGAAAATTTCAGCCCAAACAGTTTAAGTCTGGCAAAGTTACAATCTGTTGAATATAGGGCCTTATAATGGAATATATTTGGCAACCTTAACCTTTGTTGCTGCCAGCACTTCCTATAATACAATTGCACGAAAATCCTGAAACATGTTTTATTTAATTTTAATGATAATGAATAAAATCTCCATAAAACACTTAGTTGGTTTTACAGTCAATTTTAGCTTGGATTTGCAAGGCACTGGATTTTGAAATTTATCAAACCAACAAACAGTTTAAGTAAATTTAATTCAGAAGCAACAGTGACAATATTTCAATTCAGTTTCTTATAATCCAAGCCAGGAGACTATAATGAGAATCATATATAATGGCTAAATCCCCACAGAGTAGGCTGAAAGTTAACTCTACTGTGCACTAATCCTCAACTGGTGGGATGTGACTTACAAGTGGGTCATGTCCAATGGACTGAGAAAACAGAAAACCCTCTGGTCCCCTAAGGTCCGGCAGCAACTTGGGCAGTGGAGAGGAGGAACAAAAAAATTCAGCTTAAAGATTTATTCACTCAAATTCCCTTTCATACTCACTGAAAGATTCTTTTACCCAAGTAAACTTTAACAACTAGTAATTTTATCTGTAAAATGCACCTTATAGCCAGGTGTCTCCCAGCTTGGTTGTTACACCTTGTTTACCATTGAGATGTTTGTGGAAGAAGGCTTGGATTTGCTGCCAAGCATCCACTTGTGCCACAGAATGAGCTTTGGGCTCACCTCCCCAGATCACAGGACTGCCAACCAACAGGTGCATTGAGGCTGAGCACATTGGGGAAAAGGGGGGTTCAATATAATGCCCTGCTCCAGGGTAACAAACTATCTCAGGCTTTTCCTTTCCATGAGCCTGCAAACGATTGGAGGCTTCAGTAGCTAAGAATTCGCTCTTCCAGTTATGATCATCCTTGCCAACAATGAACAGGAAGTGCCCCTCAGCTTTCTCCAGTGGGATGAAGCTTTGACGGTCAGGCCCCTCTAGTGGGTTATTCAAGACATCCACAATATCTGCAATCCCAGACTTATCAAACTTAATGCGTTTCGGATTGACGCCAAGAGGTGGAATGGTGATATCCTTGTAACGAAGCACTGCACCCACATTGGCCACAGAGCCATTGATGGTGACAGTGGCAGTAATGCCTTTTAAGAAGGAAGCCATGGAGATACATAGGTCACCACCTTTGGAGATTCCAAGTAACCCAATTCCAGGACCTTTAACCTGAGTGGGAGAGAAAGAGAGGTCATTAGCATTGAATGGAAATTAATAATCTTACATTTCTATAGCACCTATATCCATTTGGATCTCTAAGGACTCAAACTCTGATAACTGTATGAACTTCATAGAAATCTACTCACCCTCTAGTGAATGCTGCCACATCTGGAGTGGGGTAGAGTGACTGTTTTTACATTGCAAAGTGATGATATTACAGATAACTAATTAATATTAACTCCCAGGAGAAAAGTCACTTACTGAATCAGCAATACTCTTTCCTGTAGTAGCCTAGGTTTTCATTATAATTCTTCCATCCAAGTATTAGCTCAACCCAATTCTGCATAGTTTATGAGATCACCACAGCTTGAGGAATGGCTTCAACCTCACTTCTAAGGTAGAGGGGGTCCCTTGCAGTTTAGCTGGGTTTGAGCTTACCATCAAAAAACACATACAACTATATTCTAGGTTTTCTTCAGATCTAGTGTGTTGTGGAAGAGGAGGACATCTATACTGAATATTAATTCCCAGATAAAAACTATGATAAAGTGGTGTTAAGACTGAGTACATATTGGTATTTTAAAGAAAATACATTTCAGAGATACTGTTGTAACCCACTGGACATGTGTGTTATACGTCCCACACTGTGCCTAAGGGAAAGAGGATGCAAGTTGTTTGCAACTCCCAGCTATGGAACCTGGCTCTTTCGCTCAATCGGTAGATAGATTTGTACTTAGAACTCTGGAGGTCCCTAGTTGAATCCTGGTGTCAAGCAAGATGGCAATTGTCACCCTAATTATCCTCACACCAAGTATTACAAGCCCAGGAAATTCAGAGTTAGGGTTCTACTTAAAGAAATCCAAACATATTAAGAAAAAGTAAAACACAGTTAGGCACCCAAACAACTTTAACTCCAGTCTATATTGATGCAATACAATAACCATACAATTATAATTAGTGTACAATAGGGTTTGCAGCCCCAGATGAGATTTTTAAATTTTTAAAGATACTGTACATTCAATTTGTCCTCCCTCATAGTGTCATTGGTGGAAGCCACCCATGACTGGTTCTAGGGGTGGGTAGGAAGGGCAGTTGCCCTAGGCACCTTCTTCCGGGGGTGCTGGCACAGATTGGCTTTTTTTCCCCCTCCACTCCAACTAGTTGGCCATTTTTGCTTTGCTGATTGGTTGGCCTTTTTTCCCCCCCTCCTTTCACAGCTGCTTGGGAGAAGGCACCAAAAATGTTTTCCGTCCTGGCCAGCAAGGTGACTGCTGAAGGCAGCTTGGCTTCACTCTCATTGGGAAAATGAGAGATGGCAGCCATTTTAAAAGGGGCCAGTTTTTCATGGAATTCTCTGTAGAACATCATTATTATTCTACTGCTTCTGAAGGAGAAATGTTCAGTTAATAATAATGCTAAAAATGAACATTAATCCCAAGAATGTTTCTTCAACTGTAGCTGATGCACAAGATTTCAGTGAGTTTTAACTACTCAGGAAGTTTGAAGAATCCGCATTATTCCATTAAGATAATTTGGCACAGAAAAAAAATTCTTAAAATGGCCCATTTGTAATTAATTTTTATCTCAAACTACTCACAATGTACTTGTAAAGAAAGAAATTTATGAGAATTTACTCAAAGAATAAGTGCTGTAATTTTGGGAAGGATACACTGCAATTTTCTTTAGAATAGCTGAATTCCTGCTTTTAGTGCAAAATACTCAACCATAATTATGGAACTGTAACTGGTGCTTCTAGAGTACTTTCCTATATAAACTTTTCCATTTATAAATGCAAATTCACAATAGTAAAAAACAGCATGATCTTGGAAGATAGCCATCCTGGTTAAACTATTTGTAAAAGGTTTAATCTAACTCCATAATGATTCCAGAGTGGTCATCAAGTGTAAGACACTCAAATATGAACACTTAACTAAAGACTGTGCCATAGTTTACTAAGATTACGCTCCTTCACCACCTGTTTCACCACTAGCATAACTGGCTGCAACTCCACTGGTTTCAACGAACTGGAGGAAGGGGTTAAATTATGCAGGGCCTTCAAAAGATTAAGGGCATGGAATTTTAACATGATAGAAAATATAATGGGGGAGGAAGGCACTGATGGTATTCAAAGAAGGTGGAGCATCCTGTGCTCAGTATGGTGGGAGAGAAATGGGATTTCACCAATAAACTGGGTAGATTAGAATGGCTCTAGTGGTTGTGGCTATTATGAATCGTACAAAGACAAGGCCTCAATATATCAATCACCAGGTACTGGAAACAAATGCAGTCCCAGAATACAAAATTTTAACATCTAGTAGTGACCATAACAGCTTCTTAAACTAAAAGGCAATAACTTGGTGTTTGTGGACTTCCTTGAACTGGGATCACAGAAGCTTGCCATGCATAAAAACACTGTGTCATGGCCAATCTACAAAAACATAAAAATTAAACTCCTTTTGGAAGCTTGAGAATCTCTGGCAACAGCCCTCAAAAGAAACAGACACAACTTCAGTAGAATTTGATATCAACGTGTGGGTGGGTGAGTTGGGGGGTGGGCGTCAGTAAGACACCCTCCAGGAAATGGTACCAGCTTAAAATGCAAAGTTCAAACTGACCAGTCATAGAGGATTACCAATACAAGTTGTTTACAATGGACTTTGATAGAGCTGAGATTTTAAGCACAGCAGTTATGTATCATATATTGCTTTACAACAGTCTTATGATGAGCGCTCCCTGTATCATGGGGACACCCATGAATAAACTGACCTGTGAGTGTTGCAACATATAGTTCACAGCTTCCTCAAAATACTCTAGATGGAATTCCTTCATATCTTTGGGGAGATCTTCATAGCCATAGTAAGCCAGAGCCAGTGTGGCAAAGCCATGATTGGCCAGAAGGCTTGCCCGATATTCAGGAAGCCCGCCCCCAGTACCATATAGGTCAATGATTCCAGGAAAGGGACCATCTTCTGTAGGAGACCAAATAAAGGGATGTAATTAGCTCAGAATTCTTCCTTTACATTTCAAATTTCATACCATTTGGTCTTTACCTTGCTCTAAAATTTTTTATTTTTTTTTTTTTTAAAAAGAAAGCTAGAAGATTAAGGTTCACTAGGTTCTCCATAAACTACTAAATACTTCAGAGATTATAATAGAAAGCCTGCTATGTCATGTGCAGGTCTGGATAATAATACATATTCTTGCAATTACTGAAGAAACCAAGGATTATTTGACAAAAGCCATTATTGACTGTGATTTCCCCCACATGTCTATCCTATGATTTAGGTGCCATACATTGTTAAAAACCAGAAATCTTTATTATTCAATAAAATTACCGAAAAAAAAAATCAACCATATCGCAGACACAAGTCTCCAATTCCTTTAAACCTTCATTTGTCTCTAGGCCCTGGTCTACACTAGGAGTTGAGGTCAAATTTAGCAGCGTTAAATCGATTTAACCCTGCACTCGTCCAGACGATGAAGCCTTTTTTTTTTTTTTTGACTTTAAGGGCTCTTAAAATCGATTTCCTTACTCCACCTCTGACAAGAGGATTAGCGCTTAAATCGGCCTTGCCGGGTCGAATTTGGGGTACTGTGGATGCAATTAGACGGTATTGGCCTCCAGGAGCTATCCCAGAGTGCTCAGTTGTGACCGCTCTGGACAGCGCTCTCAACTCAGATGCACTCGCCAGGTAGACAGGAAAAAGCCCGCAAACTTTTGAATTTCAATTTCCTGTTTGCATGGTCACCTGCAGCTTGCCACGCTGGCCAGAGCTCATCAGCAGAGGTGACCATGCAGAGCTCATCAACAGAGGTGACCATGATGGAGTCCCAGAATCGCAAAAGAGCTCCAGCATGGACCGAACGGGAGGTATGGGACCTGATCACTGTATGGGGAGAGGAATCCGTGCTATCAGAACTCCGTTCCAGTTTTCAAAATGCCAAAACATTTGTCAAAATCTCCCAGGGCATGAAGGACAGAGGCCATAACAGGGACCCGAAGCAGTGCCGCGTGAAACTGAAGGAGCTGAGGCAAGCCTACCAGAAAACCAGAGAGGCAAACGGCCACTCCGGGTCAGAGCCCCAAACATGCTGCTTCTATGATGAGCTGCATGCCATTTTAGGGGGTTCAGCCACCACTACCCCAGCCGTGTTGTTTGACTCCTTCAATGGAGATGGAGGCAACATGAAAGCAGGTTTTGGGGACGAGGAAGATGATGATGATGAAGTTGTAGATAGCTCACAGCAAGCAAACGGAGAAACCGGTTTTCCCGACAGCCAGAAACTGTTTCTCACCCTGGACCTGGACCAGCCAGTACCCCCCGAACCCACCCAAGGCTGCCTCCCGGACCCGCCAGGCGGAGAAGGGACCTCTGGTGAGTGTACCTTTTAAAATACTATACATGGTTTAAAAGCAAGCATGTTTAATGATTAATTTGCCCTGGCATTTGCGGCTCTCCTGGATGTACTCCCAAAGCCTTTGCAAAAGGTTTCTGAGGAGGGCAGCTTATTCTGTCCACCATGGCAGGACACTTTACCACACCAGGCCAGTAGCACATACTCGGGAATCATCGTAGAACAAAGCATTGCAGTGTATGTTTGCTGGCGTTCAAACAACATCCATTCTTTATCTCTCTGTGTTATCCTCAGCAGTGTGATATCATTCATGGTCACCTGGTTGAAATAGGGTGCTTTTCTTAAGGGGACATTCAGAGGTGCCCATTCGTGCTGGGCTGTTTGCCTGTGGCTGAACAGAAATGTTCCCCGCTCTTAGCCATGGGGAGGGGGGAAGGGCTAGCCATGTGGTGGGGGGGGGAGGCAAAATGCGACCTTGGAACGAAAACACATGTGCTGTGTATGTAATGTTAACAGCAAGGTTTACCGTGAAAGAGTGTACCGATTGTTCTATAAAATGTGTCTTTTTAAATACCACTATCCCTTTTTTTTTCCTCCACCAGCTGCATGTGTTTCAAGGATCACAGGATCTTCTTCCCAGAGGCTAGTGAAGATTAGAAGGCAAAAAAAAACACACTTGTGATTAAATGTTCTCTGAGCTCATGCTGTCCTCCCACACTGACAGAGCAAAGACGAATGCGTGGAGGCAGACAATGTCAGAGTGCAGGAAAGCACAAAATGACCGGGAGGAGAGGTGGTGGGCTGAAGAGAGTAAGTGGAGGGCTGAAGCTGAAAGGTGGTGGCAGCGTGATGAGAGGAGGCAGGATTCAATGCTGAGGCTTCTGGAGGATCAAACTAACGCGCTCCAGCATATGGCTGAGCTGCAGGAAAGGCAGCAGGAGCACAGACCGCCGCTACAGCCCCTGTGTAACCAACCGTCCTCCTCCCCAAGTTCCATAGCCTCCTCACCCAGATGCCCAAGAACGCGGTGGGGGGCCTCCGGCCACCCAGCATCTCCACCCCAGAGGATTGCCCAAGCAACAAAAGGCTGGCATTCAATAAGTTTTAAAATTTTAAACTTTTAAAGCGCCGTGTGTCTTTGTCCTTCCCTCCTCCACCACCCTTCCTGGTGCTTTTCTCCTCCACCACCCCTCCCAGGCTACCCTTGTGATCCACCAGTGCTTGCAGCACTATTGAAAAGTACCCCTTGCAGTTTATGTACTCGCCGGCTTGGTGCTCCGGTGCCAAGATAGGGATATGGGTTCTGTCTATGGCCCCACCACAGTTAGGGAATCCTATTATAGCAAAGCCATCCACTATGACCTGCACATTTCCCAGGGTCACTACCCTTGATATCAGCAGATCTTTGATTGCGTTGGCTATTTGCATCACAGCAGCCCCCACAGTAGATTTGCCCACTCCAAATTGATTCCCAACTGACCGGTAGCTATCTGGCATTGCAAGCTTCCACAGGGCTATCGCCACTCGCTTCTCAACTATGAGGGCTGCTCTCATCTTGGTATTCTTGTGCTTCAAGGCAGGGGAAAGCAAGTCACAAAGTTCCATGAAAGTGCCCTTACGCATGCGAAAGTTTCGCAGCCACCGGGGATCGTCCCAGACCTGCAACACTACATTGTCCCACCAGTCTTGTGCTTGCCAGGCCCAGAATTGGCATTCCACGGCATGAACCTGCCCCATTAGCACCATGATGCCTGCATTGCCAGGGCCCATGCTTTGAGAGAAGTCTGTGTCCATGTCCTCATCACTCTCGTCACCGTGCTGACATCGCCTACTCGCCCGGTTTTGCTTTGCCAGGTTCTGGTGCTGCATATACTGCTGGATAATGCGTGTGGTGTTTAATGTGTTCCTAATTGCCAGAGTGATCTGAGCGGGCTCCATGCTTGCCGTGGTATGGCGTCTGCACAGAAAAAAGGCACGGAACGATTGTCTGTCGTTGCTTTCACAGAGGGAGGGAGGGAAGGAGACCCAGAACCACCGCGACAACGTTTTTTGCCCCATCAGGCATTGGGATCTCAACCCAGAACTCCAATGGGCAGCGGAGACTGCAGGAACTGTGGGATAGCTACCCACAGTGCAACACTCCAGAAGTCGACGCTAGCCTCGGTACTGTGGAAGCACTCCGCCGAGTTAATGCACTTAGAGCATTTTGTGTGGGGACACACACAATCGACTAAAAACGATTTCTAAAAAACGACTTCTATAAATTTCATGGTGTAGACATACCCTTAGTTGACACCCCTTTGCCCCATCCTTAGAGAAGGCCTCAGAAACAGATGGTTCTTGCAATGGGTAATCAAATCCAAGATCGAGTACACCAAGACAGAAGACAGGTTTCAGAGACTTGGACTTCACTGAGAACATGCCATTACCTCCCTTTTATAATCAGGTGGTGAGTGTTAGCTGGAGTCCCTCATGTGTTATTAAATATTAACTTTTATCATTTTTGTATGTTAAACACTTAATTCTATTATATGCATTTTTATTCTGGGTATCTATTTATTGCCCTACCTATATTTAAATTAAAAAGTTCTTTGTCCTTCAATTAAACATAATGGGTGAAGGGAAAATGAACTTTATAATGGAATGTGTGTAATCTTTTAACACTAGTTTTTACCCTGCCTTTACTAATATAGTCCAGGTGTCCAGGGAAAATAGCCCTCAAACTACTAAGTGTCTACAGAAGTAGGTTATAAACAAAACTGGATGATTGATAAGGGATATTTGTTATTGCACATGTTTTATGTAATGGAGGAAATAAGGATCCACTGAAAGACGTTTATAAACTTAGTAAGAACTGCTGGTTGTCACAGCTCTCAGTAATAATGACTGAATTAGAATTCCCTTTGGCTTACTGATCATGTAACCTAAAGATACCATAAAAGAAAGCTCATAAGTAATTAGGTACAATGAAAATGTCAAAACAGAACGCATAGTGCAATTAATTGTGGAAAAGTATTTTTCCTCCAAAAAGGAGTTTTTGTCTCACACTCTATAAAATGACAGAGGTTTGGGGACTTGGATTGGGAACTAACAATGCCAGCATTCCACTGAGTACACAGGAAGGGACCAAATTACCTTCTCTTCACCATCTGTGGGGTGGTAAAGTACGTCTTCCTGTATTCTGTGTAGTGCTGTACTAATCTGATTTATAATCTTTGATTAAATAATTCCATTTGAGCCTATTTGACAATCTCAAATTATTAAATTCAAACACACAACACATTCCAGCAGTGGCCATGGTACGACATGGGAAGAGTTGGTATCTTATATACTCTGTATCCCAAACCATTAAGTACAGCCTTACACAGAAAGACCTGTATTCAGATAATTTTTATGTTAGATAAATTTCTGGATATCACTGGAGAGGTCTGCGTGCAAAAGAAAAGGATGCAGTCTCCTCATCAAGTATAAATGATTAAAAAGTAGACTTCCCATGGCATGTGAAGAGCAACTGTAGACCTCAGAAAGACCCCAAAGTTAAGAATCTGAGAAATAAAGAGTGAGCATACCCCACCCGTCAAGGGTACTAATATAATTTCTGGCACCATCTTGGCTGGATTGAGTTTCAGTCCATCCCTCATCTTTGCCACAGTCTTTGTTAATCATGGCCTAGGATACTTCACCAAACTAACAAGTCAAAAAGAGATGTAAATATATAGAAAACTAGTTATTGAAGACATAGCTCAACCCTCTTTATCCCCCATACTTCCTCACTAACCTCATGAACACCTCCACCCGCCTGTCCCCTGCCAGGATGTCCTGCCCAGCTGGGGCAGCCCTCCTTGGTGCAAGACATTACAGTCACCAGCGAAGGTTGTAGTAAAGGTAAAGTGCTCCACACTTTGAGGACCTCTGCCATAGTCAGTGGTTAGGACATTGGAGAGAAGACAGATTCCCCATTGAAATCCCTTATCAGGCAGAAGGGTGAACTGAACCAGGGTCTCCCACATCATAGGTAACCACAGGATAAAGATTTATGAAGGAGACCACTGCAGATGCCCCTGCCACCTCCTTTCCCCGTTGTTTTGTATGGCGTTAGCCATGCTCACAGTATGGAGTGAGTGAAGCCGACTAGACCTCTACCTTCCATTCCACATCAGTATAAACATTTTATTTTGGAAGCCGGCTGCTGAAAACTCCTGGCGTGTGGTGTTTATACTCTAGTAGAGTGACATTATGTGCGGCTTTGCGGGGGTGCTGGGGCTCTGCTTCTGGACGCGGGAGGGGGCTGCTTTGGGGCGGCACTTTAACGCGAAGCATGTTTTTGGATGGCTCTGGGCCACTCGCTTCTGGCGGGGGGCAGGGTTGTTTGGAACATTCAGCAGGGGGGAGAGGGGCTCCCCGGGACTCCGTCTGGAAATTAGGCGGGAAATCCCGACGTCCTGTGGAACGTGGGACTCAGCAGGCTGAGGGGCCGCGCCCTGCCCGGCTGCCGGTGGAAGCCCCGAGGAGGGAGGTGTAGGGGCAGTACTCGGTTACTCACCAGGAGGCAGGAAGAGTGTGGCCCGGATCCTCCCCTCTCGCACCGGGATCCTCCTCACCCCTTCCCGCAGGAAGCTCCGCTCGTGGGCACCCCTGGCCAGCAGCCGGCTGGGGAGGGGCCCGTGGCCCTCGAATACCTCCAGCTCCAGGCAGAAGGGGCTTTGCACATCCCGCTTCACCAGCCGTCTGAAGGGTTTCTGGGGCTGTAGGGACCAGAGCAGCCCCATGGGGTCCAGGCCGGAGAAGCTGCCTCCCGGCAGCGCTGGGGAGCGGGTGAGCTCCAGCTCCCCGCTGCTCTCTGCCTGGTAGAGGGCGCAGGACTGGAAGAGCTCGCCCCCCTCGTCCTGCAGAGACAGACGGAGAGTGACCTCCTGCTGCGGGCACAGCCCGTGCACGGTGATAGCCAGCGGCTCATCGAACAGGCTGCGTGGGGCGGGCGAGAACTGAACACTGGGCGCCATGGTGGTGGCGGCTCCCAGTGCCTGGGCTAGGCTGCGCCTGAGCACGTGGCGGCAGGATCGGTGCAGCACACTCTGCAGCATCCCCTGCGCGCAGAACGTCCCAGCGCCGCGCAGCGTGCGCCGGGCGGCTAATGCCATGGCTAATGTCAGGCCGCCCCGCCGGCAGCGCGAGAGGACTGACTCCCCGACCACTTTCCGCGCAGGGGCGGTGCTTGGGTGAGTGCTGCTGGGTGGGGCGGGGACTGGCTCTAGTACAGCACGGACGTCAGACTCCTTCCTCTCATAGAATATCAGGGTTGGAAGAGACCTCATGAGGTCATCTAGTCCAACCCCCTGCTCAAAGCAGGACCAGTCTCCGCTGTGGAAGAGCCAACATGTAGGAGGGTTTTGGTTGGTCACAACAGGATCTTTCTTTTACAACTGGGCCCCGTGCCACCCTTGGCTGTTTGGTGGACTGTTATTTATTTCTCTTCCGGTTGTTGTGGCACCATGTCATTCTGATCTGTTCTGAATTACATTGCATTATTTTCTTTCTTTAACACGTGTAAAAAGTTTTGTTTTAAAGTGTGTTATAGTATTAAAATGAATTAACATAAGTAGTTTAAACACTGAATTAAATCTGTCCTTTGAAAAGGTCTTTATATAATGTAGTAAGTAACTACACCTCATTCTTTCTTGCCCCTCTGATGCATTCCAAATTGTGAGAGCTTCCTAGGGAAAGATCAATAGAGACAGTTTCTCCTGAGAGAGTCCATCTGCATTTGTGGTTATGGAAATACTGAAAAAGTGTCAGGACGGTCTGAAAATTGCTTTGAATTTTTAAAAATTGTATAAATATATTTCTTTGTTTCCAATACCTCAAATAACTATCTCTGTAGTTTGCCCAGTAGTTGTTCTGTCTGTATCTGAAAATTCAGACTTTTTTGTCTGGGGTGCAGGTGTGCTCTCCAGCATACATCCCAAGAGTTAACACCCACCTACATATGTCATTCCAGGGTGACACTCTCCAGCAAGCAATTCAGTCCTGATGAGGATTTTGTCAGGGGCTCCCGGGAGTCTAGGAATCGACCTTAACAGAAGGGTCACTAAAAAGTTTTAAAAAGTTCCAAAACTTGTTGCATGTGAGAGAGGGGCCAGGTTTGGCATCAGCAAGGTCAATTTTGATAATCTCTCCCAATCTGCAAACTCTTGAGTTTGACCAGGCCTATGTGAAGCTCATGGCAATACAGTAGTTGGGGTAACACAGTATTTCTGAGACAATGAGACTAGACCTTTTAACAGAAATACTACCAACAAATCTAAATATAGTAATTAAAACCCATGATCCGCAGTATGGTCACAGATTCATTTTATTTTATTTTTTTGCCTCAAATGGAAAAATACCAATAAGGCACTGCATTATTGTGGTAAGCTATGATTGAAGAAGTATCAACCTACCATTCCATCAAAACGATTTACAGGATGGTTTGGCCAGAAATTGGCCAAGAGCACAGTGTCATTAGCCTTAGTACATCCTTCTTATGTGGACCAAATAGACTATAGCAGGGGTTCTCAAACTTCATTGCATCATGACTCCCTTCTCCCAACAAAAATTACTACAGGACCCCATGAGGGGGGACCGAAGCCTGAGCCCGCCCAAGCTCTGCCACCCCGGGTGGGGGTGGGGGATAAAACCAAAGCCCCAATCATGTGGCCTGTAACCTGAGCCCTGCTGCCCAGGGCTAAAGCCCTCGGGTTTGGGCTTTGGTCTTGGGCCCCAGCCCTGGTGACCCCTTTAAAACGGGCTCATGACCCACTTTGGGGTCCTGACCCACAGTTTGAGAACCTCTGGAATAGAGTATAAACCAAACGTAAAGTGCAGTCAAGATAAAAAGTCTGGAGTATTGGATTCCACATAACATAACAAACTATTAAACATATACCCAGAAATCTACAGTCTTACACCGTATAACTACCTCAACTAAGCAGTCCCACTTTTAACTTATATATCTGTCAGATAAACAAAATCCGAATAACTCCAAAGACAACACTGGGACCAAATTCAAGCAAGTGCAACTCTGTGGACTTCAGTGGAATCACAACCATTTACACCAGAACTGAACATGGCCTATTAACATACATAACTATAAAAACAATACATAAGATATTTGACCTGAGGCTTTTCATGGTACACCTACACTGGACTAAAAGACCTGCAGCATGGCTGCTGCAGGCCGGGGTCAGCTAACTCAGGCTCACGGGGCTTGGGCTATGGGGCTAAAAATTGGGCTTGGGCTAATGCAGGGTCTCAAACACGCAGCCCACGGAGTTATTTTCTGCGGCCCGCCATAGGCGCTGACTCCAATGGCAGCCAAGCTCCCCTCCCCCCCTGCTACCCCCTCTCCTCCGCCTACCTCCCAGCGCTTAGGACTTTCCAGGAGGGAGGGGAGAGGAGCAGGGACACAGCACGCTCCTGGGAGGAGGCGGAGAAGAGGTGGGTCTGGGGCGGAGATTTGGGGAAGGGAGAGGGTGGAGGGGCGGGGCGGAGTTGGGGCAGGGACTTTGGGGACAGGATTGGAATGGGGGTGGGAAGAGGTGAAGCAGGGGCGGGGCCTCATCAAAGGGGTGAAGTGGGGGCGGGGCCGGGGCAGAGGAGGGGGCTTTAACCAAAGTAATTCTAAAAGTAAATGTGTGTTTTATCATTTGAGTGAGGTGCATGACTGAGTGCTTATATTTTATTAAAACTCCTCTTCGCATTACAGTTTTTAAAAAAGTTAATACATTGACTTTTAACAGCATACTATATTACTCTTCATTTTTTTCATTTTTGACGATACTTTCGTATCGTTGTATGAAAAGGTTTCAGTGATGTGGCCCTCGGGCCAATGTACTAGTCCTCATGTGGCCCTCGTGGTGATTTGAGTTTGAGATCCCTGGGCTAGAGCCTGGACTCTGGGACAATCCCACAGCTTGGGCTCCAGCCTGAGCCTGAATGTCTGGACAGCAATTTTACAGCTCTGCAGCCCAACCATGAGCCCGAGTCAGCTGACCAAGGCCAGCTGTGGGTGTTTAATTGCTGTGTCAACACACCCTCAGTGTAAAATCTGCAATATCAGACCACTGGGCTAGAGTTTGATCTCATTTATACTGATGAAAATTATAGTAATTTGTAGGGGTTGATTCCTAATATTGATGCAAAAATGGTTATTAATAAAATTGTTGTAATGAAGTCTTATGTTAAGTTTTTATAAACTTGCCTGTGCCTTTATTAAAATTTAAATACTTAAATATTTGTATATACATGGTACTTGAAGAATAATAGCTTACATATTTGTCTTAGTTACTTGATTTATTAAATGAAATATTCAGGCTAATTAGAGAAACAGAAAATCTCCTCTTTCTCCCAATAAGTGACAGGTACAGAAACTTCAGGGAGAATACCTCTTCCTTGCCAATAAGTTATCTTTTCCAGGTTCAATTATAGACTGGAATGCAGTTTATAAATTTTCTTGTAATGATATAAGTAGGATATTGAAATGCTATTGTGATTTAAAACACCAGAATATATTGCTGAAAAGGAGACATTTGCTAATCTTTGTAAACAAAGCCTAGGTCTACACTAGCACTTTTGTCAGTCAGGGTGTGAAATAAGCACACCCCTGACCAACATAAGTTTCACCGAAAGAAGCGCCAGTGTGGACAGTGCTATGTAGAAGGGAGATGCTCTGTCACCGACATGCTGCCGCTGCTCGTTGGGGATAGTTTAATTATGCTGACAGGAGAGCTCTCTCCCCTTGGCATATAGTAGCTACACGGAAGACCTTACAGTGGTGCAGCTGCAGCGGTACAGCTGTGATATAGACATAGCCAAAGAAATAGTGGATCTAATTTTAATATGAAGATTCTTAATATTCTTTAACTTGCCTGTCTCAAGGTGGATCCTGGAATGGTTTCCTTTAAGTAACTGAATTTAAATATCATCTTTGTTTCAAAAGACTCAGTTAAGATCACTCACCTTTGCTCATTAATGAACTATTTAGGTTATCCATGATAAACCAAACAAGACTCACCTACCATTAAATGAAATGCCTTTCTGCATCTATGAACTATTTTAGTTATTTGTGATAAAGCAGGGCTCGTTACTCATTTTGGAAATAATATACTTTGGTCTTAATTTATCTAGGGAGGAACACCTCTACCAAAGGTGGGCTCACTGTCAAAAGTCTCTGAGTAGTCTCTGTTAAAAGCTCTCCACAGAGAGATTTACAAAAGATGTTGTAACCAAAGTAGCCATTGTTTGTTTGTTTTTATTTTCTTTTTGTTCTTTAACAAGAAAATAGTTAAATTGAGATCCTTTTGCTTTTTCATTACTAAAACAGAGTACATCACCTCCCTAAATGGACATTGAGAGGTAATTATTAAGATTTGGCTAACCATTTTCTGTCTCTTTAGATTATAATTTTTTTAGGCATAAAATTACTTGGCTCAACAATTTAAACCACCCCTTTCTACCCCACAAACTATACTGACGTTAGATGTAGCGTGAGACTCTTTCAAAATACGTAAACATTTTCAAACCTTTTTCTGTGGGGATTTGTTAACACTGTAGAAATGACCATAATGCCAAGATAAATTATTGGTTTGATATGGTGCCACTGAATATCCCTGGATGTATTCTTAAGAAGATAGAAAAAATGTTCTCAGAATTCCTATGTATAAAGAAGGTAGCTGGATGACACTGAGAAGTTGAAATTCTTTTTTCATTTGCGGTGTGTGATTCTTCTTAGCTACCTCTTTATCATTGCTGCCAATCTGTGACTTTGTCTGGCAACTATACATAATTGAGGTGTAAACAATGTCTGAGAGAAGGTTCTTGGGTTCTACATTGGTCAAAAGTATTCTGATTTCTCCAAAAGCAAAAGGGATCCTAGCTCTAATACTAGAAATTCTCTAGATTTTGACAACCACAATTCCATGGTCAGACCCATGGTGGGTCTTGCAAGCTTCTCTCTCTATCTGAACTTTCACTACAGAATTGGAAATTTCCCTTTTTATTGGCCCATGAGGTCATTTGATGGCTTAAGTGTCCTGGAAGATATGTTAATATGCAATTAGTGTTAGTCCTTCCAGTGTTGCAAAACTGAAAGTTTTTGCAAATG